GGGGAGAGAAGTCACTGTCATATGAGCTGTAGCAGGGCATGGCGCCCCCTCACCCATCCCAAAGTTAGTTCTTCTTGCTTCCCACCCTGACCAAGCAGCCCTAGATCTCAACAGAGAATTTTTCCAGGGGTTTTCTTACAGCTTTCAGCCCGTTTTAGCAGGTCTCTTGGCTCTTTCTTTTCTTTTTTAAATGTATTTTATTGATTTTTTTACAGAGAGGAAGGGAGAGGAGAGAAGCATCAATGAGAGAGAGACATCGACCAGGTGCCTCTTGCACACCCCACACTGGGGATGTGCCCACAACCAATGTACATGCCTTTGACCGGAATCAAACCTGAGTCCTTTCAGTCCACAGACAGACGCTCTATCCACTGAGCCGAACCGGCTTCGGCTTGGCTTTCTTACCCTCAGCTACTGGTGTGTGCTGTGTGCCCTTGGACACGTCACGTTCCTTTTTTGAACCTCATGCGAGGGTGCTAATGAAGCTGAGAGTGTTAATGTATCCAGCTAGGGGTGAGGATGGAGTGAGTGCTGAATGTAGCAGCCACCTTAGCCTATCGCTCCACCCCCACACTGCCCCCCAACCCCCCTCTGCGGTTAGAGTTCCTGATTTCTCGTGTGTGTTGTGTGTGTGTGTGTGGGGGGGGGTATGCCTATCCCTGACGATCTCAGTCCTCCCAGGAAGCCTCACCCATTGTGGGTTGGAGGGAAGATGGACATCATGCTGAGCCAGCTGACCAGGACACGGCCTTGCTTTTGTAGCACTTTGCTTCCTCCAGTTCCCATCCTCTTCCTGCTATAGAGTGACAACAACCCCTCCAGCTGCACATGCACACATCTGGGGCCAGCCAGGACTCTGGGGTTCCCATGGCCTGTCCAGGCTGGAGGGAGCCTTGGTGAGGTCCACCCCTCCTCTTCAGGAAGGTTTGTTGATCCCCTCCTGGGGTAACTCTGCCTGCTTCATGGGGAGTCCTGATGTAGGGGAGCAGGTGTGGAGGGGAGAGCACCAGACAAGTCAGACTTTGAGCCCCAGGCTCCTCAGCTTTCAAATGGAGATGAAGTTGCCCTTCAAGGTCACAGGACCATCTTACATGGTGTCCAAGCTGAGGACACGAGGGGCCAAGAGTGAGCTTGTCTGTGGGGCTCAACATGACGGGCCACCGAGGACCGAGAGGAGGGATGAGGAACGGGGCCTCACCGGTCTGACCAGAATGAGCCAACATGTGGTCAGACCCCCAGGCTGGCTGGAGCGGGCCCTCAGGGAAGTGGGTGGGACCGCTCACCGTCTCCAGGCCTGAGGGGGTGCAGATGCTAGCGAGGGGCCCTGCAGCTTCGATGACCACATTCTCTGGAGCATGCCTCACCACCAGCATGTGATGCGTCCAGGCAAGTGAGCCTTGGAAAGGTTCTAGGGGGAGACTGCCAGGCAGGACCGAGGCCATGGGCTGCGCCAGGTGCTGAGAGGTGGGCCGTGAGAGGAGGAAACGTTTGCTCTCTCCCCTTTCCTCCATCTGCGCGCCCCTCTGCCCAGCTCGCCCAGGAACCCGCCTCCCTCCTTTCCTCCTCAGACCCCCCTGCCATGTGGGCCGGGGTGACAGACCTCCAGCATCGCCCACTGCACTAGTGGGGCGGCGAGGAGCCCGCCCCCGCCCCTCCATTGGGCGCTCATTTAAATGCCCGGCCACGCCCCGGGCGCAGGGCCCATATATAGGGGCGGCTCGGCGGGCGGCGGGCGGCTTTCTGGCGCGGAGCGGAGCGGCGGCGGGCGCAGCCATCGGGTCGGGCGGAGCGGGGGCGCAGCTCGGTTTCCCCCGACACCCCTCCCCCTCAGGCGCGAGCCCCACCCCTTCGCCGGCCAGGCCGACCCCACCGAGGTACCCCCTGCGGCGCGGGCCCGGGGCGGCTCCGGCGCCCCCAGCAGACCCCCGCACCATGGGCAGCCAGAGCTCCAAGGCTCCCCGGGGCGACGTGACCGCCGAAGAGGCAGCAGGCGCTTCCCCCGCCAAGGCCAACGGACAGGTGGGTGCGCTGGGCACGGCCCCCCCGGCCCCCTCCCCTCGCACCCAGTCCCCTCCGGGGCCCCGAGTCGGGGCCGCGCGCTTTGTCCGGCCCGGGACACGCGGCAGCCCCCTCCCCCGCCCGGTCCCTTTGTTCTCGGCGCCGCAGCCCCCGCGGGCGAAGCGAGGGGAGGGGAGGGGCGGCGAGGGGGCGCCGGCCGAGCCCCGCTGCCTTCTTTGTTCGCCGCCCCGGCCTTCGGCGCTGCCCCCGGGCCGCCCCGAGCGCCGCGCGGGGAACAAAGGGCCGCGCCAAGGGGGCGCCCCGGGCCCGCGGGGCGGGTCCCGCTCCGGCGCTCCGGCCGCAGCCCAGCCTCGGTGCCCACCGCCTTTTTCCGGGGGGTAGTCGGGAGGAGGGGGGAGCCTGCGGCGGGTGGGGGACCGTTTGCACAAAGCAGGAAGCCGGGGAACGGCCGTCCAGGTGCGGAGGACGGCGCCCCGGGGCGGCTTCCCGCCCAATCTCTGCAGCTCGGCTCCCAGCCCGCCCGGCCGGGCCGCCCGCGGGTCTGCGCGGAAGGGAGCGCGCCCCTGGAAGTGGGTGGGGGCCAGGGGACCCCAGCGCCTCCTGCCGGCCGCGGCCTCCGCTCGGCCCCAGCGCGCCGAACGGCCAGGAGGGAGCTGTCTGACGGGATCCCGGGTGGGTGAGGCTGCAGTGGAAGGAGCCGAGCCCCGTTGTCTGGAAGGGAGAAGCGGCGGGCTGGAGGGGGTAGAGTCCTGACCCTGACTGCTGTCTCCTCTGCCCCGCAGGAGAATGGCCATGTGAAAAGCAATGGAGACTTATCCCCCAAGGGTGAAGGGGAGTCGCCCCCTGTGAACGGAACAGAGGAGGCAGCCGGGGCCACTGGTGATGCCATTGAGCCAGCACCCGCTAGCCAGGGAGCCGAGGCCAAGGGGGATGTGCCCCCCAAGGAGACCCCCAAGAAGAAGAAGAAATTCTCTTTCAAGAAGCCCTTCAAATTGAGTGGCCTCTCCTTCAAGAGAAATCGGAAGGAGGGTGGGGGAGAATCGTCTGCCTCCTCACCCACCGAGGAAGAGCAGGAGCAGGGGGAGATCGGTGCCTGCAGTGAGGAAGGCGCTGCCCAGGAAGGGAAGGCTGTCGCCACCCCGGAGAGCCAGGAGCCCCAAGCCAAGGGGGCCGAGGCTAGCGCTGCCTCCAAGGGAGGAGACACGGAAGAGGAGGCAGGGCCCCAGGCCACAGAGCTGTCCACTCCCTCGGGGCCAGAGAGCGGCCCTACACCTGCCAGCGAGCAGAATGAGTAGCTGGGTTGGGACAGGTGGGTGATCTCGGAGCTGCAAAAACTGTGCTGTCCTTTTGAGGTCACTGCCTGGACCTGGTGCCCTGGCTGCCTTCCTGTGCCCAGAAAGGAAGGGGCTGCTGCCCCCTCCCAGCCACGTTCCCTTTCCTCCTTCCCTCCTGTGGATTCTCCCATCATCCACCTGGTCTTCCTCTAAGGCCAGTTGAAGATGGTCCCTTGCAGTTTCCCAAGTTAGGTTAGTGATGTGAAATGCTCCCGCCCTTGTCCCCACCCCTACATAAGGCAATTGCTGTTTTCCTCCCCAGTTCTTTTCCAAGTAGGTTTTGTTTACTCCCCAAATCCCTGAGCCAGATGTGGGGTGCCTACACTCCTGAACCCTGAGTGTCCAGCCTTCCCTGTTTTTAGTCTCGTGCTGTGCCTAGTGGCACCTGGGCTAGGGGAGGACACTGCCCCTGTCTAGGTTTTTATAAATGTCTTACTCAAGTTCAAACCTCCAGCTTGTGAATCAACTGTCTCTTTTTTGACTTGGTAAGCAAGTATTAGGCTTTGGGGTGGGAGGAGGTCTGTAATGTGAAACAACTTTTTCTTTCTTTCCCCCCTCCCATTGTTGTAAATAACTTTTGATGGCCAAATCCCAGATTTGTACTTTTTTTTTTTTGTCTAACTTTTAAAACCATTCTCTTCCACCTGGTTTTACTGTAACATTTGGAAAAGGAATAAATGTTGTCCCTTTAGTGGTGCTTTTTAATGAGTGGTCTTCTGGGGGAAGGGTGAGAAGACTGGTTAATCTCAGCCCTGGCCAGTCTGGCTCAGTTGGTTGGAACGTAGGCCAGTATACCAAAAGTTGTATCATATTGGGGTGCATGCCAGGGGCAACCGGATCAATGTTTTTCTCTCTCTCCCCATTCCTCTCCAAAATTAAAATTTAAAAAGTATTGGTTAGCCTCAAACCTTGAGGGAGGGATGAAGACAGGTAAGTTTGTGGGGTTCTTTTATTGTTGGGGTGTTGCCCAGATTTTCATGAACTCCAGAAAGGCAGGGAAGTAGAATAAATACCAACCCAGGGATACTGCTAGGTGAGCTCAGGAGGGTATAGAAATGTACCATTTTATTACAAAGATTCTCACACACACAAAAAAAGTCCCCGAAAATAGTATCTCAAAAGGGAAACTACCAATTCCCACCTGCAGAATGGGGGAGTGAGAGGGGTCAGAGGTCAGATAGTGTGAGTTTAACGGAAACTCACTGGGGGCCAGGGGGAAGGTATAACAGAACCAATCTAATGTGGCTGAGGTTACCTTAAGGCGCCTGTAAAGAACAGGGGTTCCTGAAGACCCAGCCATTCCTAGAACGCTCAATATGGGCACCTTTCCAAAGCCACTACGCAGAAATTTGGCATTTTGGAATTTTGTCCTATGGATGTTTAAGGGAATCGAATCCCTTCCACCCAGAACTGGCACCCTTTATGGTTGAAAATTAAGAATTGGGGTAGGATGGCAGGGCAGCTATTAGAAAAGCTCACCCAGCACGTGTGCCCTGGGCTCACGGCCCTGGTTCCTGTCTAGTCCCTGGGGATATTTATATTTAATATATTTTTATATAAATACACAGAAATAGAAAATATAAAATCTGAGGGGTTACAGGAGAAAGGTTGGGCACTTTGCAAGAAGCCAGAACTGGAGAGGACTGCTCAGGCCAATTTGACCTCCTCTTTGACCCTGTGGAGAGAATAGAGACTGGTATGAGATAACCCACCCCAGAGGCCTTGAAGTGTGGGTACAATGACTTACTTTCACAGGACCCGCTGCCCAGGTGACTGCTGAGGGCTGGGGCTTCCTAGCTCTGCCTAGAACTGCAGAGAGACTGGTCCCTGAAAGAGGCCTTTGTAAGCTGGACCAGCTGTCCCTGTGCCTTCCCTCAGTGCAGTGGGACAAAGGGGCTGGTGCACCAATGCCAGGGGGATGGCTGACAGCTCCTTCCTCACCCTTTGGCTTCTTGCTTGTCCTCCTTGGTTTTCTCCTCCTCTGTGACTTCTGAAACATAAAAGTGCAGGGATGGCCAAAGAGCCCCTCTGGAAAGACAGGATCTTCACTTACCCAAAATCCTCTTCCCCACACTACAGCGCACTGGGCATAAAAAGAAAAGCCCATCCCAGGTCTACCCAGTGAGCCCTGTTGAGAACAGGTCTGACCGGTTTCCCAACCTGCTGGAGCCTGAACTGGTGGGAGGAGGCAGCCCCCTGGGAAACCGGGGTGAAGTGCCAGGAAAAGGGCTTGGGTGGTATGTGAGGGCCACACTCCTGACCACAGGGAGCCCAGGCATGTCCCTGGCTTTGGAGCCTGGCAGGGCTCTAATCCGGCGGAGATGAATTGAGTTTCATTCCTTTGTAAGCCTGGCCACTTCTGGGAGCCACTGAAAGGGCCAAGGAGCCGAGGAAGATCCCACAGGAGCTGGCAGGGCCCAAGTCCGCTCCCTCCTCCCAGTGCCCTACATAGATCCATCATCCTCCAGGACTGGGGCTCAAGACCCAAATCTTTGCCCAACTGATACACACCTTTCTTCTCTTCTGGGTCTTTCTCTTTTTCATCTTCAGTTTTGACTCTCTTGGCTTTTTTGAAGTTGGAAGAGTTCTTGCGACCACCTTCTCCCTCCTCATCAGAATCAGAGAACTCTTCCTCACAGGCAATTCGTTTGTCAGAGGAACAGACTGGGAAGCAATGGAGAACACTGAGAGCAGGAGTGCCCAAACTTCCTCATGAGCGTCCTCTGAGAGACACTCAGGGTAGAGGACAGAGAAGGGCGGAGGGGACTCAGGTTCCCCAGTTGCTCCTACAGGCACTGAACTTGGGTTTCCCAACAGGTGGTAGCTTGGGGGGAAATGGAAACCGAGAACAGTGGAAGGAAGTCAGAGTTGCCTACTCAGGGAAGTACAGGACCCTGGGTCGGGGCCTTACTCGAGATGCGCTTGTCAGGGTCTTCCTCCTCCTCATCACCACTCTCCTCTGGAATGGCGTCCTCAGGAATCGCCTGCATTTGGACCCCAGGGGCATGGGGCAGCATTCGCAGGTTCTCAAACAGTCGCTGTCTATGGCCAATGGTAGAGAGGGTGGCTGGGTTCTAGTTAGGGACAAACCACAGCCTGGAATGTTTAAAAGGTGTCTGGGGATATACTCACTTGATCTTCTCCAGGTACTCGTTTGTGTTCTGGTTAGTCATATTGGAAGGACTGATGTGAAGTTTGAAATCTGGCCCAAAGTATTCAAAGTAGTCGTTGTATGGAAGCTCTAGTTGGGGTAGCAGATTAAGAGAGGCATGAGACTTAGCCAAACCAAAGGACCCCAAGAAAAGCATTTACGGGTTTTTCTGGACCTATAAGCCCAACTATCAAAGAAAAGAATGCTTCCAAAATAGGGTGAGAAGCATATCTAGAGTACTTCCATCTTTTCAATTTCTGCAATGTCCACACCAGTGGTATGTGTGTGTGTGTGTGTGTGTGTGTGTGTGTGAATGTGTCATTATGAGAAGGCCCAAGCCCTTTTGTTTAGAAAAATTTAGGCAATACTCCTTATTGGGAGCACTCGTTTACTCACTATCCCAGTTACCATATAGAAAAATTCCAAAGCTACAAATAACCGATGGTAATTTTGTTCAGACCAAAAAAGGGAGAGGGGACAGGGTCAAAAAGGACTCAGGAAAAATTAATGACTATGGTCTGATAAATGCAAGAGAATGAATAACTAGTATTGGAAGGGGAGAGGTCATTTAGCCAAAGGGAAAGAAGTTGTGAACTTGAGGACATGTGAGCTCCAGCTCTGCCCAGCCCAACCTGGCCTTGGGGCTATTACCATTAGGAATCTCTGTGTCTAGGGCGACAGCTGTTTCGTACGTCCAGCATCGGGCAACATTACGGATGGTGTAGCCACCTCCTCCCAGCATCAGCATAGGCAGGTTAAAGCTCTTCACAAATTCCACGCACTTGGCATGCCCTTTGGAGGAAGGTGGTGCTGGGTTACAGGAGCACCTAGCAGGACCCTGCCCACCCAGGCCTATGCTACCTGGTCTCACCTTTGATGGTCAGATTGAAACAACCTAACCGATCCCCAGACAGGGAGTCAGAGCCACACTGTAAGACGACTGCACTGGGTTGAAACATCTCCATTACTTTGGATATGACCTAAAGGACAACATCCTGGTCACCACCAGCCTCAAGAAAAGCTGTGTTCTAGGCTAAAAAGAGTGGGTGCAGCACTTTCTTCTGTACCTTTCCACTCTCCACATGCTGGGTGGTAGGTAAAGGAAATATCAGCCTGGGCTTCTGGTTTTCCCACTTTGGATTTGTTTTCTAATCTGACAGGATCTCCAAAAGCCTCCTAGCTCTACTAACACTGAACTTAGAATGGCTTCTGTATCAACTCCAAGCCCTTCTTTCACTACCTAAGACTTCCTCCAGGAAGGCTTTCTGACCCTTAGGTGCATCTGCTCTACTCACCTGGTTCTATAGACTTTGTGCCTGATATTGTGAGGAACCATTACTGAGGACAGACATAATCCAGGCTTCTGTTGCTGCCCGCCCTTACTACAAACACATTTGGTGTTTGCTGACTTTATTAGGTTACTATTAATGGTTCCCTGCTGCTGGCAAGTGAGGATTTGTCAGCATGACATTCAAGGCTCCCTCTGAAATACTGACCCCAACATACATTTTCTATATCCTTAGAGACTCTTCCCACATATCACAGTGGCCTACATACAGCTACATATTGGCACCACTGTTCCCTCTGTTGAATGCCACCCCTCCCACGGCCCCCACGTCCTTCTTTACATAGGTAACTCATTTTTCAAAGTCTAGCTTAAATGTCACCACCTCTGTGAAACCACTGGACTACCCTTTCCCCAGCCCAGGCAGCAGACTGCCTCTCACTCCTCGGGTTCAACCCTCAAAAACAGTACTGACTACACACTTAAGTTATATGCCTGCCTCCCAAATTCTAGATTGTGAGGTCTTCAAGGCGATAGATCATGACTTAGGTATTCTTGTATTTAACCGAGGGCCTGAATCACAGAAGGCATCAACAACTATTAGAATGAATTCTGTTTCTGGAACTGAGCACGTAGCATGCAACCCAGGGTTGAAGCACATCTCCCAGCTAGCCTCTCAGTGTGGAAGGATCCCTGAAATATTGCTACCCCTTCTTAGACCAATCCCATTTGTAACCCAGGTGGTGGATAAAACCACTTACCGGCTTGAAAATGGCCTCATAGGACTCGTCATCGATCCCATCTCGAAGCGGGTAGTTAACAGCATAATACTTGCCTTTGCCAGCCCCAATATCCTAATCAAGGGGACATTGAAATAAAACTGAAAAATGAAGCTAGAAGTTCAAGGATGGGGGCTGGTTCAAAGAGGCAAGCGGGGCCCATGAGGTGGGCCAGAGACACTGTGGTTAGTATCTCTGGCAAATCTAGCTCATAGCTCATAACACACCACTGAGCCTGTACCCAAACTGGGAATTGTTTATGGGACCAGAGATTAAATACCCTATCCCACAACACAAAGACCTCTGCCTTTGGGTTGGGCTAGAGCTGCCTGGTAACGGTCACAGAATACCTACCTGCCACAACCCTTTCTCTCCAGAGAGCTTTACTGCTCACTCCTCTACCCCCCACCCTCTCCTCTCTAGGGATATATGGTGGAGACTCAAAAGGAGGAAAAAAAGAGTTCTTCAAAGTAGTACTCAGTTACCCTAATGTTCATCATACCAAACAATTGAATTAGCACCACTTTTTTCACCTAGGGTAACTGGCATGACAAAATGGCTGATTTCACAGTATTCATGTTAATAACAACAGTTCAATGAATTAGCTTCCAAGGATTCTTAGAAGTCTATGAATGGACTTCATTTAGGCAGAAGGGTCTATTAACTATTTGATATTCGATGCAAAATTTCATGTACTTTTCTGGGGATAGAGTCCATAGCTTTTAGTCAGATGATCAAAAGGTTAAGTGACCTAAAAAATTTTCCCAAGATGGTTCATAGGGCCCCAATCCTAGCCCATGGCAGAGAACCTGGTGTATGTAGCCTAAAATTCAAGCCACATGGGAATAGTGTAATTCGATTTAGCTGTGGCCAGGAACAAAGTGCATGAATCAGGCAACCCTTTTCCCTCCAGAATAAGGGAGGAAAGGAGACTGTAGGTGTCTTGGGCTGGAGAATGGTGTTCTGAAAGGCAGAAGAGGCAGGAAGTGGTTTTGGTGACTTGAGATAAGAGAGCTGGCAGCTGAGGGTGAGTTGACTGACCCCTGAAAGGAGTTCTCACCCGTAGATCCCCAGTTCCTGGGAAGTACTCTCCATATTTATGAAAGGACACAGTCATGACCCGGTCTGTGGTATAGAAGGCCTCTTCCACGCCATCGCCATGGTGAATATCAATGTCAATGTACAGCACCCTCTGGTGATACCTAGGATTAAAAAGGGGTTAGAAATCTGGGGGCTCTTTCTGAGTGCTTACCCTCAGGTACCTCTAAGCACCAGAGACGTGGAAACTGGCTGAAGGAAGGTGCAAGTGCGGCAGGGTGTCTCCAGAGGCCTGACCAAGACGACCAAGTCCAATCTTTCTACTCTATAGCCTGGGTCAACTCGAGCCACACAGGGACATTCTGGAGGCAGGATCTGAGAGCAGCGCCTCCCCCTGATCTTGCCGAGGGCTCAGATCAAATCAAGACCCCGTCAAGGAGAGAATGGCCAGAGACATTCACTGAACATACCCTAGCCAACACACTGCTAAGAAAAGCAAACTAGGGAGGCAAGCCCAGGGGGAAAGGTAAGTGGGAACCTGGCCTAAGGTGCTTCTCCGAAAGAAAAGCCAGACGGGCATACTTTAGCAGTTCCAGGATGGCCAAGACGATATCATTGACGTAACAGAAGCCAGATGCCTCAGACTTCTTTGCATGATGCAGGCCCCCAGCCCAATTCACAGCGATGTCCGTCTGCTGCTTATTAAGTTTCACAGCACTTGCTGGGTGTGGGAAGAGAGAACATAGGCTTATTATCAAACCACTCTCCCCTCCCCACAAGAAGCCCAAGGAACCAGTGAGAGGTAGGACCTGCCTATTCACAGCTGTATCATACAATTCATAAGCCAGTCTTCTCCCTCGCAACCCATCCCATCCCATCCCATCCCATCCCATCAGGCAGTAAATACGATATTATTCTAAAAAAAACTGTTTTCTAAATGGAAGGTGATAAACCCTTTAGTATGCCTTAAAATTGGTTTAGTGGGTCATGACTAATATATATATATACATAAATGAAATAGAGTAGAATAAAAATATCAGAATAACAGTAAAGGTAACTACTATTCTGTAAAACTGACTTCAAGGTGAGAAAAGGTTTTTGAGTGAGTTGAGTATGTGTAAACACACAACCTGGATTGCAATATAATGTTAATTCTTACCAGGGTTCACAGTGAAGATGCCAAAAGTAACAGAGGCTCAAAATACAAATAGGTCCAAGAAGTGAGAGAAATATACATTCAAGTGTTCTAGTACATTTGTGGCGTTTGTTAAAGTGTAATTTTAATAGAAATAACAGGAAACAACCCAAATGATCCAACAAGAGGCAACCAATTGAATCAACTGAAGTAGTTCCAAAACATGGGATAATCATGTAGCCAATAAAAATCATGCTGTATCTACTACAGAGAAACTTTAAAGATTAGGTGAAAAATGGAGACAAAATTGTATATGTAGTTTTGCATTATATAGATGTATATATATTATATCCAGATATATATATACACACAGAAAAAAGAATCATGTACAAACTCTAAAATGGTAACAATGGTTATTCATTGACAGTGTGATTGTGGGCAATTTCCCCCCCTGTGAAATTCTTTGTTTCCTGAGATTACAGTGGGTAGTGGAAGGGAGAGGGAAGAAGAGAAAACAACAGGCATAAGAAAAAGGATTAGTATAATTCTAAAGTTAATCTAAAAGCTACTAATGGAAATGGGCAATATTTAGAGCATATTTCTGACCTCAAAGATAATTACCATGCTTTTTTTGTACAACACAAATGATGACACTTCCCATTTTACAGCACTAAGCAGAGTTCACAAATTGCTTTTATGTATAGATTCTCAACAATCCCATAAAATCAGCAGGGAATTGCTGTATATAAGATCTCTTGGTAGGAGAGAGCAGTCAAGGGCACCTGTCAGTACTATATCAAGAGAATGATCCTGGGCTAGGACTGAACCAGAAGGACAGTTGGAAGGCCCAAGGTAAAAACCCACAGGGCCCTGGCTGGTATGCCTCAGTGGTTGGAGTGTTGGGCCACAGACCGAAGGGTCTCAGGTTTGATTCCCCGTTAAGGGTATGTATTTGGATTACAGTTTTGATCCATAGCCCCAGGAGGAATGCACATAGGAGAAGACCAATCAATATGTTTCGCTCCTCCCTTTTTTCCTCCCCCTTCCACTCTCTCTAGAAGAAATAAAAAAGGTATCCTTGAGTGAGGATTAACAAACAAACCCATATTAACATTTCATATGGTCACAGATCAGCCTACTGGGACAGTGACCTAAAAGACAGACCCCATTATTACAACCCAGCACAGCCCTCAAGGAGAGAGGTATGTTCCTTACCCACAGAGCCACCAGTAGATAACTGACAGAACTCAAACAGGCCATCAAATACCGGACAGTCTTCACCAACGTTGACTTGAAAGACATAAGTGAAAGGTTAGTTTCCACAATTTCCTTTAGTTTTTATTTTTATATTTATGAGCTGATAGAAAAACAGAATTTGAATTCAGAAAGCTTGGGTTCTAGTCCAGGCTCTACTACTTACTGGCTGTGTAAGTGGGTCACATAATTTATTTCAGCTTTGGCTCTTTATCTATAACAAGTCATAATGATATCCCACCTTACCCCATTGTTGAGAAGATGAACAGAAATCTTAAATGAGGAAACATTTCACAAGTAAGTGCTTGGGAAATGTTGATTCATTACATGCAGGAGAAAAAATTTAGCCTCTTCCAGCATGGGTTTGTTACTGTACCTCACTCCGGCTGACCAACAAGGAATCCACCGAACATTTAGCAACATACCAGACACTATGCTAAATGCTTTCAATACCTGATATAATTTATCCTCACACAAACATATGAGGTAAAATTTGGTCCCATTTTATGAATGGGGAAACAGGCTCAGAGAGATGAACTGCTAGTAAATGGCAGAGACAGTTTCAAGTATTGGCCTGCCTGTCCTAAAGCCTATGAAAACATATTCTGGCTTTTCCCCAGTAATTTCACATACACAGTCTCCTCTGATCCTCATAACAATCCCATGAGCTAGACAAGACAGATATCAACCCCACCAAAGAGATACGCTTGCAGAAGTGGCTTGCCCAAGATTATACAACCAGGCAATGGCAAGAACCAGAATCAGGGTCCAGGTATCTTGAATCCCACAGTCCAATGCTCTTTCTACTACACCCACAAGTGACACTGGAGTCAAGTTATTTCAGGCCTAAAGGGGTAAAAGTACAAACTAACACATAATGATAAACACATGCAAACCATAATGCAAATGAAAAGCACAGGAAAGGAAGCACACCTGAAGGTTGTAGACTCACAGAGCAAGAGAGGAACCTTATGGCTCCAAGTCTCTTCTCACAGAAAAGGAAACTGCTGAGATACCAATGATATATAAGAACTGAGGCAGGGGTAGGACTACAGCCTATTCTCTCACCCTTGCCTTTCCTTACTCACCCAGTGTTATCAATAGTAGTTCCCAAATTAGATGAGGGAGGAGGACCCCTAAGATAAGGAGGGGAGGAGAACCCAGCTGGATTGTGGTAACCTCTTTTTTTTTTTTTTTTTTAATATATTTCATTATTTTTTCCCCTTTTATTTATTTATTTATTTATTTATTTTTATTTTTTTTATTTTTAAATATATTTTATTCTTTCTGTTTTTTTTTTTTTTTTAAAGCAATCTTTATTGTTCATATTATTACAAAGGTTCCTCATTTCTTCCCCCCTCCACCAGGTTCCCACCCCACCCTCCGTCCCCCCCCCATCCCCCATTGTCCTCATCCATAGGTGCAGTTTATGTTCAGTCTCCTCTTCCCTCAATTTCCCCAATAGCAAATCCCCTTTCAGATAGTAAATCAGTTACTTAGCATTTTCTCATATCAATAATACCTCCACATGCCCAATGATACACTTCACACAAAAGACATTTCCCACTAGGTCAACCAGCCTCATCCAGGCCCCACCCAAGGCACTCATAGATCAACACCCCAGTCCTAAACTAACTCAACACATCCAGATCTAAGCCTTCATCACTTGATTCAGCAGACACTCAAGTTCCCACGAAAGTTTCCAGCCATGTCTGAGAAGCAGCCGTGGGGCAGGGGCAGGCAAGGAGCGAGCTGTTCTGGGCCTGCCTGCTCAGGGCCTGGCCTCTGTTGCTCTGGTTCATTCCACAACCAGCTGCTCCGGGTCTGGTCACTGCCGCTCCCAACCTAGTTGCTCTGGACTTGGCTGCTGCTGCTCCGGGCCTGGCCGCTCCCAGCCTGGCAGCCGCTGCTCCGGGCCTGGCCGCACCCGACCCGCCTGCTCCCCCGGGCCTGGCCGCTCCCAGCCTGGCAGCCGCTGCTCCGGGCCTGGCCGCACCCGACCCGCCTGCTCCCCCGGGCCTGGCCGCTCCCAGCCTGGCAGCCGCTGCTCCGGGCCTGGCCGCACCCGACCCGCCTGCTCCCCCGGGCCTGGCCGCTCCCAGCCTGGCAGCCGCTGCTCCGGGCCTGGCCGCACCAGCCCCGCCTGCTCCCCCGGGCCTGGCCGCTCCCAGCCTGGCAGCCGCTGCTCCGGGCCTGGCCGCACCAGCCCCGCCTGCTCCGCCGGGCCTGGCCGCTCCCAGCCTGGCAGCCGCTGCTCCGGGCCTGGCCGCACTATTTATTTATTTTTTAAAAAAATATATTTTGTTGATTTTTTTTACAGAGAGGAAGAGAGAGGGATAGAGAATTAGAAACATCGATGAGAGAGAATCATCGATCAGCTGCCTCCTGCACACCCCCTACTGGGGATGTGCCTGCAACCAAGGTACATGCCCTCAACCGGAATCGAACCTGGGACCCTTGAGTCCACAGGATGACGCTCTATCCATTGAGCCAAACAGGTTTCAGCTTTTTTAAAAATATATATATTTTATTGATTTTCCACAGAGAGGAAGGAAGAGGGATAGAGAGCTAGAAACATCGATGAGAGAGAAACATCGACCAGCTGCCTCCTGCACATCTCCTATTGGGGATGTGCCCACAACCAATGTACATGCCCTTGACCAGAATCGAACCTAGGACTCTTCAGTCTGCAGACCGACGCTCTATCCACTGAGCGAAACCGGTTTCGGCTATGGTAACCTCTTGAGAGACAGCTGAAGTTCCAGGTTTGCAATAACTGTAAGAGTTATCAACTCTGGCACTGCCCTAAACATGAAGGATGCTCTGATCTGGTGCCCTGCCAAGACAAATGCTCGGGGAAAGCATGGCCTGCATAAGGGGGTGCACAGTGGGTGGCTCTCTCCTCAGCTTCCCCGGTAAACACTGGGAGGCTGTGTCAATAGAAACTTTGGTCCCTGGGCCAGGATATTTATCCACGGCAACCAATTTCTCCCTCTGGCTGCTTCCTCCTGCAATGGGTTTGGCTTGCCTAGGTTTCCAACATCTTGCTTGCATGCCCATTCGGGATGTGGAGCATCCTTGGAGGAAATGGGAGTTTTAGATATAAGAAAATAATAATTCATTTCAGGTATAATTTCCTAGGTTAAGTGTTAGTAAATATTCACATACACAGTCTCCTCTGATCCTCATAACAATCAAAGAGCTCAGTTCTTACATACCTGATATATTTATAGATACCTCAGTCATAAAGGACTGTACTAAATGATATCTCTCTATAATCCTATGAATCAAGTCAACAAGGTTCTTTGAACCTTATCCTTCCTACTCCTCATCTTCAATGAGAAAAAAATCATAGGCTTAATTTTTGAATGCACAAATTTAGAGTGCAGGTCTCAGGAAAATTGAAAAAACTGTGAGCCAGAGCCAAACTTGTGCACTTTGGAGGGCCTACTATTTTTGTCTGCTTTGACAAATTTAAAATATATTTATTGATTTCAGAGAGGAAGGGAGAGGAAGCAAGAGACAGAAACAACGATGAGAGAGAATCACTGATCAGCTGCTTCTCCAACACTCAACATTGGGGATCGAGCCTGCAACTTGGGCATGTGCCCTGACCAGGAATGGAATTGTGACCTCCTGGTTCATAGGTCAACACTCCACCCTTTGCCACTGGTCAGGCATCCTTGACAGATTTGAAAATAACAAAAGTTTTAAGTCATACTACCCTGCTTCCCCAAAAATAAGACAGTGTATTATATTAATTTTTGCTCCCAAAGATGCGCTAGGTCTTATTTTCAGGGGATGTCTTATTTTTCCATGAAGAAGAATACAGTACACATTTATTGTTAAATGAAAATAAAGGAAATTTGCTGAAACCAGTTTGGCTCAGCGGTAGAGCGTCGGTCTGCAGACTGAAAGGTCCCAGGTTCAATTCCGGTTAAGGGCATGTACCTTGGCTGCAGACACATCCCCCGTAGGGGGTGTGCAAGAGGCAGCTGGTCGATGTTTCTCTCTCATCGACGTTTCTAGCTCTCTATCCCTCTCCCTTCCTCTCTGTAAAAAATCAATAAAATATATTTTAAAAAAAAAAGAAAAGGAAATTTATTACCTGTATACGGTACAGTAGTACGGTAGTTGTCAACACAAACTAGACAAACTGTGACTCCTACAGTATCAAGAATTTACTCATTTATTCAATGACAATCATGTCATCATCTTCTGGTACATCATCGTAACAATCCAATTCCTGAATTTCCTGATGAATTTCTTGTGCCTCCATTTCTTTCAGAATCAGTGGGCCAAATCTCTCATGTTTAGCAATAGCATTCTGAGACAGAGCCTAGGGGGGGGGCCTTATTTTCGGGGGGATGCCTTATATTTCACTAAGAAGGAAACTTGTAAGTAGGTCTTATTTTCGGAGGATGTTTTATTTTCAGGGAAACATGGTAGTTGGTACTTTGAATACATTATCTAATTTACTCACCCCCATCCGAAACCGGTTTGGCTCAGTGGATAGAGCTTAAGCCTGCGGACTGAAAGGTCCCAGGTTAGATTCCAATCAAGGGCATGTACCTCGGTTGCGGGCACATCCCCAGTAGGGGGTGTGCAAGAGGCAGGTGATCGATGATTCTCTCTCATCGATGTTTCTAACTCTCTATCCCTCTCTTTTCCTCTCTGTAAAAAAATGAATAAAATCTATATTTTAAAAAAATAACAATTTACCCATCCCCAACCTCCACTATAAGAGAGACTCTACTGTCTTCTTTTTAAAGAAGGGCAAACAGGCTCAGAACAAAAACAAAAACAGACTCAGAGAGGCTAGGAGACTTACTCAAGAACACATATCTAAGTGGCAGAGCTAAGGGATTCAAACCAAGGCATCAAAGCTAACTTTCTTGCTCTAGATGGGTTGGTTCAGTGGATAGTCAGCTTGTGGAACAGAGTCCTAGGTTCCACCGAAACCGGTTTGGCTCAGTGGATAGAGCTTCAGCCTGCAGATTGAAAGGTCCCAGGTTCGATTCCAATCAAGGACACGTACCTCGGTTGTGGGTACATCCCCAGTAGGGGGTGTGCAAGAGGCAGCTGATCAATGATTCTCTCTCATCGATATTTCTAACTCACTATCGCTCTCCTTTCCTCTCTGTAAAAAAATCAATAATAAAAAAAAAAAAGAGTCCTAGGTTCCATTCTGGTCGAGGGCACATACCAGGTTGTGGGCTTGAACCCCAGGAGGGGCGTGCAGGAGGCAGCTGATTCTCTTTCATTGAGGTTTCTATTTCTCTCTTCCTCTCCTTTTCTCTCTGAAATCAATAAAAATATATATTTTTAAAAAAGGCTCATTTTCTTGCCTCTACACCAAGCTGCTTCTCTGAGAGCCCTCCCTACTAACAGTGGAGCCTCACTACTACTCTAAATAGGTAATGGAAACCCCTAAAGCCAAAGGAATGAATTTGTCTCACATTGAAAGGAAATAAGACCCTGCTAATTCAGAGCAAACACTTCACTTAGAGGGCAGCAGCTCCTGGAGCTGTGAAACTCAATGCTTCAAAGAAGGTCCCTGTGGTTCTGTAATCACTACCTGCACAATTATTGCAATGAATAAATAACTTTCTGCCTTGGGACTCAGACTACCTGTGGCCAGTAGCAACAAACAAGTGCCACAGATTTCCTGATATTTGAAAATAAGCTGTCATAAACTATGAAAACCTCTCTGGACAATGCTATTACATTGTTTTCCTGAGATCTTAGGTATTCAGAGAAAATTTCTAAAATTACAAGAGCAAAGTCATGTATGATAGTTCCTCCCAAATTTGAACATATTTTTTCCCACAGCTTAAATAATCCCCATAATTCCTATAAATTGGTTGTTGCTCCTGAGATGGAACCTGTTCTGAGTTTCAAGTCCCAAGAGGCCAGGGGAGAATCACCTCAACTCAAAGATTACATCATCCAGAGTCTGTCCTCAATTGCTGCTAAATTCTCAATTCACACAGTGGGAGCAGTTAGTTGTATGACATTCAGTACATTTTATTAAAAAAGAATCTGAGATGAGGGGAAGTAACTTCCCAGTCAGTTAAGAGTCAGAGCTGGGCCCTAACCAGTTTGGCTCAGTGGATAGAGTGTCGGCCTGCAGACTGAAGGGTCGGTCCCAAGTTTGATTCCGGTCAAGGGCATGTACCTTGGTTGTGGGTACATCCCCAGTAGGTGGTATGCAGGAGACAGCTGATCAATGTTTCTCTCCCACTGATGTTTCTTTTTTTTCTTTTTTTAAAATATATTTTATTGATTTTGTACAGAGAGGAAGGGAGAGAGATAGAGAGTTAGAAACATCGATGAGAGAGAGTCATCGATCAGCTGCCTCCTGCACACCCCCTCCTGGGGATATGCCCGCAACCAAGGTACATGCCCTTGACCGGAATCGAACCCGGGACCCTTCAATCCCCAAGCCGACGCTCTATCCATTGAGCCAAACCGGTTTTGGCTCCGACTGATGTTTCTAACTCTATCCCTCTCCCTTCCTCTCTTTAAAAAATCAACAAAATATATATATTTTTTTAAAAAGTCAGAGCTGGGCTAAACCAGGTGCCTCAGTGGTTGAACATTGATCTATGTATGAACCAGGAGGTCACGGTTCAATTCCCAGTGGGCAGCTAAATGATGACTCTCTCATTACTGATGTTTCTGAATTTCTCTGCCTCTTCCTTCTTCTCTGAAATCAATAAAAATATACTTTTAAAACAAGGAGTCACAGCTGGGACCTCTATCTTTTATCCCTCTTCCCAGATCATTTCCATTACAACAACTACAGTTTTCTTGGCAAAATGTTGTGAATCTAACTGGACGAAGTTCAATCTCTATTCCTTACAACCAAAAACAAGGAAAACCAGAAGAGAAAAAAGAAGCACTTTAGCACCCTTGGGAGGCCAGGGAAATCAGGTGTCAGCTGAATGGGAGGAACAAAGGAAACAGGGTGGCCCCCTCCAATTGAAAGAGAGATCCAACTGGGGGCTTGAACGTAGGAAGCAAACAGAAGGGACTTACATCTCTGCATCTGCTTGCTGTATTCAGACATGTTATCTGGGCGGATGGAGCGCAAGAATTTTATGTAATCATCGCTGTGATACTTGGTCATCTCCTCAGCATTGGCTTTGTGAGGACGCTAGAGGGCAGAGAGGAGAAAGGGCATGTTATTCTTTACATGCCAGTCTTCACTCAGTCTAGTTTGAACACTTATATCTGCCCAGCATTGGGTTAGATGCTATAAGGATAAAAAGAAATTACTGATTAGATTTAGGCCTTGAGAAACTTGAAATCTAATTAAGCAAATAAGATTATCAAATGAGACTCAGTATCAGAAGACCCAGATGCAACTTAACCTTTGTTGCTTTGGCAAGTCTACCTTTTTTTTATAAAGCACTTAAATTATTACTGCTTTTTAGTATTAAATATAACAATTTATAATTATGGGCCAAGTGGCTCCAAAAGTTCAATAAGGGGTGAGTAGCCCTAGCTGGTTAGCTCGGTGGATAGAGCATTGGCCAGCAGACTAAGGGGTCACAGGTTCAATTCCAATCAAGGACACATGCAAGGGTTGAAGGCTCAATCCCCAGTAGGGGGCGTGCAGGAAGCAGCTGATCATTGCTTCCCCTCATCCCTTCAAGGTAAATCTTCAAAGATGACCCTCTTCTTTTCTAATTACCAATACTTTTATCATAGACACTTTATATGCTATCTCATATGATCCTCACAACCACCTTTTATTTTATTTATTTTTTAATTGATAATTGATTATAAATATCCTGCACACCCCCTACTGGGGATAGAGCTAGAAACCCAGGCATGTACCTCAACTGGGAATACTAATAGAACTGTGACCTCCTAGTTCTTGGGTCAAACTTAACCACTGAAACACATCAACCAGGCCTTACAATCACCTCCATTTTAACCAGTTAACTGCCATGATATTTTGAATTTAATTAAAAAAAGGTCCGCCACTTGCGTCTACAGACGCTTATGGAGTACAAATGGTTAAAGTTTATACTATTATCATCCTCACTTGCAGTAAGGAAACTAAAGCAGAGAAGTTAAGTAATTTGCCCAAGGTTACACACTAGGAAGCTGGATTAGGAAACCCAGAGGTCTGGCTTCTTTAATTCTCTGAATTTATTTAATTCTTATTACATATTATGAGAAATATAAGACTAAAATATGAATACAGTTTTATTAAAAAACACCCACAGTGAGAACATAGACTGATGAACAAGAACAGACCCAGAGACAAGGAGTCATGGGTCAGACTGTTGGACCTCAAAGGGAGGGTGGGGATAAAAGGGAGAGATCAACCAAAGGACTTGTGTGCATAAAGATGAGCCAAACCAGTGGTCAAAGACAATAGGGGGGTGGGGACATGAGTGGGGAGGGGTGGGGGATTGGAATGGGAGGTTGAGGACAAATATGTGATTCCTTAATAAAGAAAAACAAAAACACCCACAGTGAAAGTAGCAAGGGTTGGCTCCAAATACTCAGATGTTCTGTGTTTGTTTTTAAATGTGTGTGTGTGTGTGTGTGTGTGTGTGTGTGTATTTTTTTTATATTTTCTTATTGATTTCAGAGAAGGAGAGGGAGAGAAACATCAATGATGAGAGAGGATCATTGATTGGCTGCCTCCTGCATGCCCCCTGACCTAGAATCAACTGTGACCTCCTAGTTCATAGGTTGACGCTCAACCACTGAGCCACGCCAGCCAGGCCCTTTTCTTGGGTAGTAATAATTACAATGTGATTTTTTTATACCTTACATATATTTTTTTAAAATTATTTCATATCTACAATATTTTATAGAAACATTTTAAAAAACAGAACAAAAGAACAGAAGGCGATGAATAAGAAATCTATGAATATATAAAATTTGCATCTGAGGCAAGGAAGAGAATAGGACTTTTGTATGTAAATAGGAAGGTGCCTGGATAAAAGTGCTGATGTAGAGATGAATTGAGGAAGGATCCCAAAAGGGTGAAATTGTGTGAAAAATACCTCAACATGTTTCTTCCAGGTGTAAGGACAAAAGTACAGAAGGAACACAACTTTCATGAGAATTCTAAGTAGCATCTTTCAGGACTGACGCTCAAGGTCATCCATCTCAGGAAAGATATTAAAATGGCTATCTATACTTTGGGAAAGGAATGCAAAGATCACAGCCCAGAGAAAGGAGAGGACAGAAGGGATAAATGCAGAGAAACAATGTTGGAATAGGACCAAAGATGCACTCTCAATGAAAAGGTAGAGGCAGAGAAAGAAAAAGATCTCATTAAAGAGAATAAGGTTTAGCCCTAACGGGTTGCTCAGTGGTTAAAATGTTGGCCTGCAGACTGAAGGGTCAAGGGTTCAATTCCGGTCAAGGGCATGCATCTCAGCCACAAGCTCAATCCCAAGCCCAGGTCAGGGTACATGCAGAAGGCAACCAATCGATGTGTCTCTCTCACATCGATGTTTCTCTCTCTGTTCCCCCTCACCCCCTCCATCCCTCCCACTCTATCTAAAAATCAATGGAAAAATATCCTTGGGTGAGGATTAACAAAAAACGCACAAGATATAGAACATTTCGGGAAAAGAGATAACACTGAGGTTTTGCTTTAAAAGTTTAGAATAAGAAAGCACACATCCTATCTAATAATAGCAACATGCAAATTAACCATCACTCTGCTACGTAAGTCATGCCCACCAACCAATCAGGAGTGAATATGCAATTAAACCCAACCAAGATGGCGACGGTCACAGAGAGCAAGAGGGAGGCTTGGGTTTCCCTGGCAATGGAGGAAGCCAAACTTTCCACCTGCCCTCACTGGTCTACGCCTCCACTCAAAGCTACAAAGTTTCCATGATAGAAGATATATAAACCAAAACAGAAATGGCAGCAGCCATGGAGCTGAAAAGAGCAGGCTAGGGTTGCCCATGGCGATGGAGAAAGCCAAGCTTTCCACACACCCTGGCCGAACCAGGCCTCTGCTTAAGGCTACAAAGGTTTCAATTCTAGAAGATACATAAGTCCCAACAGAAATGGCTACCACCACAGAGCAAGCAGAAGGCTTGGTTCCACTCCAGGCTAACAAGTTTCAATTGTAGAAGATAAATAAACCCCAGATACCAGGGCCTCTGCTTGGGTCACCAGGGGGCGTGGCTGGCCTCCAAACCACCACAGGCTCCTCCCCTAGGCTGCCCAATGCCCCAAGGGAACCTCCACCCAGATACAGGACACCCTTCACCTGTGGTGGTGAAGGGTGTCCTGTATCCTATCTAATCAAAGAGTAATATGTGGATTGACCATCATTACAACTCACAATATTGCTGCCCCCATGTGGTCACAAGACAGTAAGCAGGAGAGGACAGTTGAAGGTGATCAAGCCTGCAGAGGAGGGCAATTAGGAGTGACCAGGCCTGAAGGAAAGGTCAGTTGTGGGGGCCCAGGCCTGCAAGGGAGACCAGTTAGGGGTGACCAGAACTGCATGGGAGGGCAGTTAGGGTTGACCAGGCCTTCAGGGAAGGGCAGTTAGTGGCAAACATGTTGGCAGGGGAGTGGTTAGGGGGTACCAGGCCGGCAGGCAGAAGCCGTTAGGGCAATCAGGAAGGCAGGCAGGTGAGCAGTTGGGAACCAGCAGTCCTGGATTGTGAGAGGATGTCCTGGATTGTGAGAGGGATCCCAACGGGATTGGGCCTAAACGTGCAGTCAGACATCTCTCGAGGGATCCCAAATTGGAGAGGATCCAGGCAGGGCTGAGGGACATCCCCACCCCCCGTGTATGAATTTTGTGCACCAGGCCGCTAGACTATATATATAAAAGCCTAATATGCAAATAGACCAAAATGTGGAACAACTGAACCATATGCTACGAGATGCGTTGACCACCAAGGGGCATGTGTGAACATGGTGGGCGGTGGGATGTTGGAGCAGATAAGTGGGGGCGCCAGACCAAGATGGGGCACCAGTTGCTGTGAGCCTCTGGTGGTTACTGAAAATTCTTTCCTCCTGTGTGCTGTGGTCCCACCTGGCACTTGCACCTGCTGCTGGTGCTGGCCCGATCACTCCCAGGGCTTCTCCCCCTAACCCTGCTCCTAAGGGCGATCGGGGCTGGCAGCCACCTCTCATACTTGCTGCCAGCAACAGCCCCACATGAACCCGCTACTGGTGCTAGAGTCACTGCTTGATCCCACTGCCAGGACCAGCCCCACTTGCAACCATCCCTTGCACCTGCTGCTGGCTCTGATTGCTTGGTGCTGTCAGCGCATGGAAACAGTGGCGGTAGGAATGAGGCTGCCGGCAGACAAGGGGCCAGAGGCTGTGGCAGGAGGGGAGGGCAGGAGTACGGAGTATGGGCCGAGATCCACCCCACAGCTCCTTTCAAGGTGCATGAATTCGTGCACTTGGCCCCTAGTATTACAGAATTTTCAATAAGGTATTATCATTTTCTATAATATGACAGCTACAGCTGTCATTCTCTCCTTCCAAAAGCCATTCTCTCCTGCCTTGGTAACACATCTCAATTTGGTTGGATGTTAATATACCCAGCCACAGGGATCAAATGTAATCCCTGATAAATGGTCTAAGGATGGCAAATGACCCAATGAGATTTAAGGGGAAATCTGGTGAGAAATCTCTGTAGAGTGTTTTTCTCTTTAATAAAAAGAAGAGAGTGGGGTGGGGACATTGATCAATTTACCCTGTTCTCTTCCTTTTTGGATTCTGTTACATGAAGACATAATACTTGGAGATAGCCATCAAGGCAAAAAAAAAACATGATGAAATCACATAAGGTAAGGATGGCTGAGCAGAAGAATAAAATAAGGCATTCACCTCTAGACCTCTTGTTAAAAAATTCTTTAGGAAGGAAAAAAGGACAAATGGACAGATACAGACACTGGAATTAGAGATATGGGTTGGAGTCTCAACTCATTTATTAATAGCTATGTGACTTTAAACATGTTAATTATCTTCTTTGAGCTTTTTTTCTGATATATAAGTTAGGATTGTTATAATTAATATACTAAATAACAGGTACCATGGCCAGGCACCAGCAATCATCAATAAATATTAGTTTATTTTTCCTCTCACTTAAAAGATAGAATCCATTTTTTAATTTCTTAATATCTCTCAAGGAGGTTAATATAGTCCCAGGGGTATGACAGTACTCAGCAAAAATATGTTGAACAAGAACTTGAGGTGACTCTTGAAGATTAGTAAGATATGGGTGGGCAAAGTAAATAATTCTCCCAGTTAGGATGGTGTGGAAAGATGCAGAATCTGATCTGGCTGATTTGGAGGGCTAGGCGGGGAAAGGAAAGAAAGAAGGCAAGTTGGGGCCAGATTAGCATGGTGTAGGTGTGCAATAAGCTCTAGAAGCTCCCGGTGCTTCAGGTATTGTTCTTCTTCTTTTTTTTTTTTAATAAGTTTTATTGTTCATATTATTACAAATGTTCCTTTTTTCCCCTCCACCATTGCTCTCCTCCACCAGGTTCCCATCCCAACCTCTGCCCTATCCCCACTCCCCACTGTCCTCATCCTTAGGTGCACAGTTTATGTTCAGTCTCTTCCCACATCCCTCTCCCCTTTTCCCCAAGAATCGTCAGTTCACTCCCCTTCTATAGCTCTGATTCTATTATATTCAACAGTTAATATTGTTCATCAGATTTTTTTTTAATTTCCTTGGTTTTTAGATTCACTTGACAGTTACGTATTTGTTGTTCATAATTTTTATATTTATTTACTTCTCTTCTGAAAGAACCCCCTTCAGCAATTCATATAATTCTGGTTTGGTGTTGAACTCCTTTAGCTTTTTTTTATTAGTGAAGCTCTTTATCTGGCCTTCGATTCTGAGTGATAGCTTTGCTGGATAGATTATCTTTGGCTGTAGGTTCTTACTATTCATCACCTTGAATATTTCTTGACATTCCTGTCTGGCCTGCATGGTTTCTGTTGAGAAGTCAGCTGACAATCGTATAGGTGGTCCATTATAGGTAACTACCTTCTTTGCTCTTGCTGCTTTTAATATTCTCTCTTTGTCTTTTGCTCTTGGAATTTTAATTATGATGTGTCTTGGTGTGGTCCTCTTTGGATTTCTTTTGTTTGGAGTTCTGTGCGCTTCCTGGACTTGTAAGTCTAATTCTTTCACTAGGTGAGGTAAGTTTTCTGTCACTATTTCTTTCAGTATGTTTTCAATATCTTGCTCCCTCTCATCTTCTGGGACCCCCATAATTCTGATGTTGGTTCTCTTGAAGTTGTCCCAGAGGTTTCTTACATTATCTTCAATTTTCTGGATTCTCTTGCCTTCTAGCTTCTGGCTCTTTATGTTCTGGCTCTTTATGTTCCAAATCTTTGACTTGATTCTTGCGATCTTCCATTCTGTTTTTAAGACTCTGTATAATATTTTTTATTTCAGACAATGTATTATTTCTTGTTGATTCCTTATCATTTCTTGTTGATCCCTTATCATTTCTTGTTGACTCCTTATTAATTCTAGTTGATCTCTTTTCATATCCTCATAGGTCTTATCCATCTTTTCTAGGAAAGTCTTGAAAAACCTTATAAGCGTAGATTTGAACTCTATATCCAGTCGCTTTTTGTCCCCCATTTCTTTCATTTGTGATCTATTTCGTTGTCGCATTTCGGTTACAGATGGGACGGGATTTCAGAGTGGAGCCTACAGCCTTGGTTTCCGTCAGCCCCACCCTATGCGGCTCCTGGGTCTCAGGGTCCTTCAGTACTCGCTGCAAACCGCCTCTGAGAGATAGGTGCCCTTGATTTTCGCCTGCTGCCAAACAGTATATGCTCTCCCCCAATGAGCCCGGTATTGGGGTTCAGTTCAGTTGGAAGTGGAGTTGGAGGTGGCGTTCAGAGCAGACTGGAGCCCTGCCAGGAACCAGGAAAAGGGAACCAAAACCTAACATTGTCACTGGAGATAAAATGTAAAAAGAGCTAGCCGACCTTGATGGCTCTGAAGGGTCAAAGCCATTAACTCATTGTCTAGTTGAGATAGTGGTGCCTGAGGCAACTTTAATTTGTTAATCACATGTAAATGTAAGTTGATTTTCTGCTGTTGGAACTTCCTCCTTAAGAGATATCGTTGTTTCAGAATCTCAATAAAAGGAATGGTAAAAGGCCAGAGAGCAGTTAGTCTTCCCACTAGAGGTAGACTTCCCAACTGGCCCCCATTTTCCCAAATTAACTCTTTTTCAGTCTCTCTCGTCATTTTAGTGTGCGGCCTTCTCCAGAAACCGGACCGAGTGGGCCCTGAACCACGCGGGTCCTGTTAAGGGATCCCACGTCTCCTTCTGGCCAGGGCAATCCCGCGGCACAGCCAACTGTCCCTTCTCTGCGAGCAATGTGCGCGCCGCCGGGAGCTCCTTTTGCCGCTTCCCCAAGTTCCGCCTTACAGCCCAGCTCCCTATGGATGAGCCTGCGTCCCCGGGGTCTGGCCTAGAACTAGGGTTCAGAGCAGTCTGAACTGGGGTTCAGCACAGTCAGAGTTTTATCTCCTTCCCGCTAGGGAATGCCAGCCAGGCACTCGGCCTCCCTCCTCTCCGGCTCTGTCCTCTCCGCGCGCCGCGTGTCTCCGTACCTTGGGCTTTTACAGCTCCTCAGCGCTTCCTTCTGATTTTCTCCTTGCTTCTCGTTTTAGAATTTCCAGTCAGTTGACTTTCCTGTAGTTTTGGGTAATGTCCATTTTATATTTTAGTTGTATTTTATTGAAATTGTTGTGTGCGGCTGTGGCTAGATGTTAACCTGGGCGCAGCCATCTTGGATCCTCCAGGTATTCTCTTTATCTAAATGCTAGTCTGCTCTCCAGAGTGCCTAAAAACCTTGCTACCTTTTATGTTTTTCATTCCCAGCTGCCTTTCACACCTGAAAAATCTCTCTGGTCCCAAGATCTGACCTGCTCCTATCTACCTTCCCTCTGGTTTCCCCAGCTATCTCTACAGGATCTTAGAGCCATAACAAGACCATCTGGAAAGGAAAACTTATCCCTTTCATTCTCTGGAATGGTGAGGAAGGATACTGCTGTTGCTAGGTTACTTAAGCTGCTTGAACACTTTAACAGACTTCTTATGCTCTAACCATAAGGCAACATGGGCCCCCAGATCCTCTTTTCTCACTTGGACCTTTTCAACAACCTCCTAAATTGTCCCTGTGCTATTAAAATGCATGCCTATTCCTATCTCTTACATGTAAAATCGTTCATTTTTTCTTCACCATCTCCAGATAAGGTTCAAACTGGAAAACCTTTGAAATCAAATTTGGTCCACAGATGTACTAATTTGTTTCTGTTTAAGTTTTAAAAACTGGAAGATGGAGCAGAGATCAGTAGCAGCTGGTTCAAGAGATTAGGCAGTCTATACTCTTTAGTTTACTAGGGACTTGGAGCTAGTTCAAAAATCCCTATAACTGTTTTAGGCATTAGTTGTTTTTTTTATTCTGACCCATCAGAGCTGCTTAGTACAGCACATCCAATTCTTGCTGACCTCTTCAGCTCTAGCTCCCCTCACACCTGTGAATATTTACCACAATACCTGAACACTGAGCTACTTATATTTTTCCCAAACGCAAAATATTGTTCTTACCTCTCTGTCTTTTTGTATATGTTATTCCCTTGGCCTAGAATGCCAGTTCCCTTCTGAATTCCAGGCTAGTTTCTAAGATTCTACTTAATCTTTAAACTCTGCTCACATATCACCTCTAGGAAATATCCCAAGGCTCCCTTCTCCCTCACTGCTCCTTATCTCTACATCTTGTACTTTAAAAAAAATAATTTATATATATTTACAGAGGAAGGGAAAAGAGAGAAATATCGACCTGAGAGCATAACACATTGAGTGACCGCCTCCTGTACACTTCCTGCTGGGGACAGCCCACAATTCGGGCTTGAGCACTGAGTGGGAATCAACAACTTCTCAGTGCACAAGATGACACCCAACCAACTGAGCCACACAGGTCAGGGCTCATCTTGTACTTTTTGTTGTTGTTAATCCTTACCTGAGAATATTTTTCCATTAACTTTTAGATAGAGTGGAAGGGAGGGAGAGAGACAAACACAGAGAGAATCATTGATATGAGAGATATACAATGATTGGTTGCCTTCTGCATAAACCCTGACAGGGCCAGGGATTGAACCTGAAACCCAGGTATGTGCCCTTGACCAAGAATCAAACCTGAGACTCTTTGGTGCACAGGCCAGTGCTCTAATCACCAAGAACCCTGGCCAGAGCTTATGTGTTTTTAAATAGTTGCAGGTACACACATCTGATGAATGGGCATTTATGAAAATAAGATAATGAATGACATATGGGGAATCAGAGCTGTTGAGATTAGGGAGGGGCAGAGCTCCCAGTAACTCACATAGATTTCCATTTTTCGGTAGAGACCATAGTTAAGTAGCAAATTATGAGTCATGCGGATTCGGTGAGGTTTCATTGGGTGGCCTTGTCCATAATAGTAATTTCCAACATCCCCTGAAAAAGAAAGAATGACAGTTTCAGTGACACAGACACAAATTCCCAGGAGAACCCAGGAAGCTTTCCAATAAACTTTCTTTCTGGTTGATTCTAGTCTTTAAGATTCCTACCCATCTTGAGGAGGGATAACTAACTACAAATGGAGAAGGGGGGAAAAAAGAGCAGGGAACCCTGGAGAAGTTAAGACTTACAAATGTCAGTCTAGCCCACTTGCTTCCCCCATGACCCACAGGCACTACTAGAGAGTGTGAGGGGTTCATTCTAAAGCTACTTGGGAGGTGACACTATATCTCCAAGAAATCCACTCCCACAACAGAAAAATAACCATCAGCTCAGCCAGTGGGCTCAACTGGTTGAATACCATCCCATGAACCAGGTCACAGTTTGGTTCCCAGTAAGGGTTACTTGCCCGGATTTTGGATTCAATCCCCAATAGAAGTGCAGGAGGCAGCAGATTCATGTTTTTCTCTCATCATCAATGTTTCTCTCTCTCCCTTTCCCTTCCTCTCTCTGAAATTAATAAAAACATATTTTAAGTAAAGAAAAATAAGCATCAGTACTCAGAATTATTTTAAGTCACAGTTCACCTCTTGCACATGACACTTCACATTCATTTTCTTACTGGAATCTCACAATAACCCTGTAAAGTAGACAGGGAGTTTTATTGCCATTTTATAGAACAGAAAACTACTCTTTCTTCTCTACAGCAATGGTCCCTCTGCCTTCAATTCAAACTATCGGCCACACCAGTTATTCCCCTAATATACAGTTTTGATAATATTACTCTCCTGCTCAAAAACTCTTAATGGCTCCCCATCCCCTACAGGATGAAAAATAAAGAACAATTTCAGTAACCTGGCATTTAAGGTCTTTCTTTTTTTTTTTTTAAATCAATCTTTATTGTTCATACTATTACAAAAGTTCCTCATTTCTTCCCCCCTCCACCAGGTTCCCACCGCACCCTCCGCACCCACCCCACCCTCCAATGTCCTCATCCATAGGTGCACAGTTTATGTTCAGTCTCTTCCCACATCCACCGCTCCCCCTTTCCCTGAGAACTCAGTCCACTCCCCTCCCGTATCTCCAACTCTACTACAATCAACAGCTAATATTGTTCATCAGGTTTTTCAATCTCCTTTTTTTGTTGTTGTTTTGTTCTGTTTTGAATTAATAAACTTTTACACTTCTAAGAATAAATTTTAAAATCTAATAATTTTAAAATCTAATAATTTTAAAATCTAATTTTAAAATCTAATCTCTGCCCTGGGAATTGAGAAGCAAACTTGTTTACATGTAAACTTGCCCTTAGGCTATCAAAAGGTGTAGCCATTCAAGTGTAAATGAACACATTGTTTAAAGATAGCTGCTGGTTGGAATTGGATTACCTGTTCTGGGTGGGAAGGGCTTGTCCTCCCCTTTTTCCATTAAAATTAAGGTGTTTGCTTTAAAACCTCTTTTTGGCAAGAGACCTTAAACTTTCAGAACTTTAAATTTTTCAAATAGTAAATCAGTTACTAAGCATTTTCTCAAATCAATAATACCTCCACATGCCCAAGGATATACTTCACACAAAAGACATTTCCAAATAGATCAACCAACCTCATCCAGACCCCTCACAAGGCACTCACAGATCAACACCCCAGCGCTATAATAACTCAACACATCCAGATCTAAGCCTTCATTACTTGATTTAGGAGACCCTCAAGTTCCCCCAAAAGTTTGCAGCCATGTCTGAGAAGCAGCCCTGGGACGTGGGCAGGCAAGGAGCAAGCTATTCCAGGCCTGGCTGCTCCGGGCCTGGCCTCTATTGTTCTGGTCCGCTCCACAACCAGCTGCTCCGGGTCTGGCCACTGCCGCTCCGGGCCTGGCTGCTCCCGACCCGGCTGCTCCAGACCCGGCTGCTCTCGGCCCGGCCGCTCTCAGCCTGGCTGCTACGGGCCTGGCTTCTCCCGACCTGGCTGCTGCTGCTCAGGGCCTAGCTGCTCCAGACCCGGCTGCTCTGGGCTCAAGGTCTTTCTTAATGTACTTTTCCAACATCATCTCTTGTTACCTACCATCATCACTCTCCTCCACAAGTATTTCTCTCTATCTCTCTCCCCCTCTGCTAGCTAGGAGCAGGCAAACTATTACAGCCCTTGGGCCAAAAAAATGGCTGCCTGGTTTTTGCAATTAATATTTTATTGGCACACAGCCATGACTATGAGTTTATATATTTATTATAATAGCAGAGTTTAGCAGTTAAACAATTGCTACAGAAACCCATCCATATGGCATGAAAAGTCTAAAATATTTACTGACCTTCTACAGAAAGTTTGCCAATATCTGCTCTAAGCACACTAGATTATTGCCAGCATCTAAACATGGCATTCACCTTCATCAAATATCCTTAGTTCATACTGTTCTTTTGACCTGGAATGTCCTTCCTTGTCTGATGATCCTCATACTACAAAGCCCAGCTCAAGTTCCAAACATATTTCTAATTAGAATAATGGTCTTTTCCTTTGTGTAATTTATTTAGCACTTAATTCATTTTGCTTTGTATCTGAATTATTGACATACCTATTTATATCTCCACAAGACTAGGTGCTCTTTTAAGGCAAGGATAAATATGCCCTGTATATCACAGAGTTTCAATAAAGACTCAAAGAGTTGAACTGAGAGTCAGAAAAGTTAAGTGTCGCCGAAACCAGTTTGGCTCAGTGGATAGAGCGTCTGCAGACTGAAAGGTCCCAGGTTCGATTCTGGTCAAGGGCATGTACATTGGTTGCGGGCACATCCCCGGTAGGGGGTGTGCAAGAGGCAGCTAGTCAATTTCTCTCTCATCGATGTTTCTAACTATCTATTCCTCTCCATTCCTCTCTGTGAAAAATCAATAAAATATATTTAAAAAAAAAAAAAAAGTTAAGTGTCTGCATAAGATCACATAATCAATGAGTGATTTGAGTGTCAACTCTTCTGACTCTGAATCTAGTATGCTAGGTACCTACTTCAGTTTGCACTTAATCTAGAGGGCTTTGTGAGTCTACTTAGTAGACAGTTTCTGTAACAATATTCCAAAATCTAGTGAACTGCACACCCAAAGATTCTTCCTAAGGAGTCCATCAGGATGAGGCAGATTTTTCTGCACCAGTGGAAAAAAGGTCCCAACTCTTATCCATTGTGGGTTGGTGGTACCAGAAACAGGTTTCATTTCAGAGAGCAATGCACTGTGGGGAATGCCACCAACATCATCTAAGCCACACTCTATAAGTTTCTTTATCATAAACAAGGTCTGGGATAATGGGACCTCTAAACAGCCACAGTACAGCCTGTAGTGGCATTCAATAGGGATCGGTGTTCCACATAAACACAGATTTTGAGATGCAGTACAAAGGAAGGAAAGCAAAAAGTTGTTCCCAGGGTCCCTTATTAGCCTTGGGGATGGGTAGAGTAGATTCTTAAGGCATTGGCTGATGCAGATCCAATTTATTGAGCAGTCAGTAGTCACATGGTCCTAATTATGATATACTAGAAGCCCAGTGCACGAAATCCGTGCATGGGGAGGGGTGTCCCTTTGCAGGCCGGCCATGTCCCCTGGGCACCCAAGCAGAGGCTCTGGTATCTGAGGTTTATTTATCTTCTACATTTGAATCTTTGTAGCATGGAACGGAGCCAAGCCTTCTGCTTGCTCTGTGGCCAGCAGCCATTTCTATTGGGACTTATGTAGCTTCTAGAATTGAAACTTTGTAGCCTTAAGTGGAGGCCTGGGCCAGCCAGGGTGTGTGGAAAGCTTGGCTTCCTCCATTGCCAGGAGCAACCCTAGCCTCCTGCTCTCTCCAAGTTTGTGGCTGCTGCCATTTGTACTTGCATTTGTTTATCTTCTATAATTGAAACTTTGTAGCCTAGAGTGGAGGCTTAGGAAGGCAAAGACTTGGTTCTTCTATTGCCTGGGAAACCCAAGCCTCCCTCTTGCTCTCTGTGGCTACAGCCATCTTGGTTGAGTATATTTGCATACTCGATGATTGGCTGGTGGGTGTAGCAGAGTGGTGGTTAATTTACATATTACTCTTTTATTAGGTAGGTTAATTGGATTCCTGCTTACCCAAGTCTGGCATGGGCCTTGACTCCTAGCAACTCCCTCGCCTATCAAGCTTGGGTCCAGCCAAGACTTAGACTTGAGGAACTAAGATACCTTATCTAGATAGTTAAGGGAGTACCTGAGGGTGGGGCCCAGAGACACCATCCTCTTAACAGTTAATTAGGTTGCTGAGAAACTTTAAAAGAATTAACTAGTATTTAGGTACCAGTTAGAGGGCTTTGTGAGTCTACTTAGTAGACAGTTTCTGTAACAATATTCCAAAATCTAGTGAACTGCACACCCAAAGATTCTTCCTAAGGAGTCCATCAGGATTACTACTTTTAAACTTTAAAAGAGCTGTCCTCTGTTTTTTGTTTTTGTTTTTTTAATTTTATGGAAGTGACCTGAGGCTAGAAAGGTAAAGTGACTTACCTAACAGGGCAAAGCTTCTGAGCAGCAGAGCCAAATCTGAGTTCCAAGCTAGTGACCTCACTGCAAACTCACACTGTCTTAAAAAATAAGACGTTTCTCTTCTCTAAAAGTTGGTTCTTTCCCCTTTTTCTCTTTTTAAACTAAGAGTAGACTGTGGAGATCAAAAAATGCAAACTAACATGGCTACGAAGTCATAAGATCCAACCTCAAATGCGCCTCACCACTGCCCAGCAATCTTTCCAAATTTATTTTTTTACCTCCCTATTTCACAGTAGCTATTTAATAGTTATCTCTCTTCAAGATTCCTACTCTACCAACTGACCTCCCTCACTCTCAGGAAAAAAAAAAAAATTCTCCTACTTTATCTTGAAAACCCTCTCAAACTTAACTACATTAGAACTTTTTCTTATCCATTTATCAAGAACTTCCTCTTGAAAGCTAGTGTCCCCACCTGTGCTCTGGTGTCCATCTCACCTGATCTCAGAAAACTACATTATTACTAGCCTCTCTAATATCTTCAACCTCTCCTCCCTGACTCTTTTCCCTAAGAATTTGAATATGCTCAACTCTCAACCATTCCATCTCCCCTTTGTCAACAACTTTCTCTCTCTGCCCAGGACAAGCTTTATTAAAAAGGTTTCAACCTGATGTCTCCTCTTCACTCACTTCTTCAATTCCAAACCCTGCACAGAAAACAGTTCTTGCCCACACTTGGCCACTCCTTCCCTCTTTTGGCTACTGTAACCCAACATTTTCTAGTTCACTTACATCTTGACTAACAGCCTGCTAGGAGCTAGCACTGTTTTGAGAATTGAGCATTCAGAGGTAGATAAGACATGTTCCCTTTCCCTTAGGCATTTACTATCTGTAAAAGGTAGGAACAAGTAAATGGGCAATTCCAATGCAAGTGACAAATGCCTACAGGGGAGTACAGAGCATGAAGGACACTAGTCTTTTTCTCAGTACACTTTCTTTGAATTCCACCCTGGGTCCTCTTCTCTTTTCACCCTATACAACTTCTTGGATGAGTGCATATAATAAAATTCCTCTATACTAAAATTCCCAACTGTATGCTGATGACTACCAAAAATCTCTCTTTTTTCGTACCTGTCTTCTAAACTACAGACCAGAGCCGAAACCGGTTTGGCTCAGTGGATAGAGCGTCGATCTGTGGACTGAAAGGTCCCGGGTTCGATTCCAGTCAAGGGCATGTACACTGATTGCAGGCACATCCCGGTGGGGGGTGTGCAGGAGGCAGCTGGTCAATGTCTCTCTCTCTCATCGATGTTTCTAGCTCTCTATCCCTCTCTCTTCCTCTCTGTAAAAAAAAAATCAATAAAATATTAAAATAAATAAATAAAATAAAATAAAACTAAATTAAACTACAGAATCGTCAATTGCCTACTGGACACCTCTACTTGGATATCCCATCCCCCAGACACATCCACAAGAAAACAAACAAACAAATAAGCAAAAAGCCTACAAAAAAAAAACAAAGTTATCAACTGACACAATCTCCAAACACTCAGCATCAAACTGCCCAAACCAGAAACTTGGGCTCCTGTGTTCTTCCTTACCCCAACATTCATGAATTTCCTTTCTGTCCCAGAGTGATAGCTCTAAGCATAAATCTGATGATGTCACTAACCTGCATAAAACTTCCATGATTCACAAGGGCCCTTAGAATAAAGTACAACTTCCTTAGGATAAGTATGCCCAGCCCTTCATGCTCAGATCCCCATTTACTTCTCCAGCCTCATCACTTGCAACCTTTCCCTTACCCCCGGCTCTCTGCTCCCTACCTTCTCCACTCTGCCCTCACATCTATGTCTCAGGCATACAGCACAAGTATAGAAACGTGCTGGTGTTCAAATGTGCTGTCCTCTCCTTCATCTCTAGCCTTGCAGTTATCTTTGCCTTCCCTGTGCCAGGCTATTAACTCCTGTTCTTCGGGTCCTAACTGGGATGGCACTACTCTCCCTAACTCTTGGGTCTGGGCTGGGTGCCCCTGTAACACTCTGAGAGTTCCTTTATCCCAGCAAGACACTGGAGAGCAATTCTCTGTCACCATCTTCCCCTCCAAACTCAGCTGGAAAAGTGCCTTGATCACCTCTTCTCTCACTTCTCCCCCCCCCCCCCGCCCCCAACCCTACCCCGGCCTCCACTCCAGCACCAACATGCTACCTAATTCAGAGTAAGCTGCTGGATAGACTTTTGTTACACGAATAAGTAGCATCCTTCTCCTTCCAACCCCCCAGGGGCTCCATTTCCCAGGAGCAACTGCAGGCCCCGCTCAGAGGCTGCGAGAGGGGCGGTGGTGACCACTAGCTGGTGATTCCCGAAGGGCTCTTCCCAAGGAGGAGGGAGGACAGGGGCAACGGAAGACCCTGGTGGTCTCAGGAGAAAAATACACCCTTGCCACCTTCCCCATCCTATTCCGTCTCCCTCCTCAGACTCAGCCTCCCCTCCGGGAGTCCCACTCAAACTCTCCCCTCAGACTTCAGGATTTCCTCACCAAGATCGCCGCAGACTTCGCCGAGCCGCCCCTCGGCCTCGCACTCTCTCCTCGGTCTCACCCCCTTTGCACTCCTCCGATTCTCCTCTCTCAGGCCCGACCTCCCCTCAGCCTCCCCCCTCAGCCTCGGTCTCTCGTCCTCGCGCCTCTTCTCCCCTCAGTCTCGACCTCCCTCCTCCCCAGCCCGACCTCATTCCTCTCAGCCTCCTCCTCCCTCAGCCCGGACTTCCATCCTCCTCTCAGCAGCGCCCCCCTCGGTCTCGACCTCCGTTCCTCTCAGCCTCCACCCGCAGCCCCGACCTCCGCTCCCCCTCAGCCTCCCCGCAGCCCTTTCCCCCAACGCCTCGCCTCTCCAGCCTCCCCACTCCGGTCTCCTCAGCCTCCCGCTCCCGGGTTCGGCCCGGCCCCGCCCCGCCCCCGCCCCCGCCGCGAGGACCGCGCTCACCGTCGTAGTAGTAACAGACTTTCCTCCGGGTGCCCTGAGTCTGCGCCATCTTGCTCGCCCGCCGTCGCTCCCGTCCGTCCGTCGGTCCGTCAGGCCTCCCGCCCGCGGCTCCGCTCAGTGTCCGACCCAGGGGGGGAGGGGGCGGGCCTCCAGCCCGCTCCGCCCGCCCCTCCCAGGCTCACCTATAGCCGCGCAGCCCGGGCACCGCTCCAGCCAATCAGCTCTCGCGGGGACGGCCCGGAACTCGGCAGGGGGCAAGGGCAGCCCGGAGAGGCCGCCCGGGGCCCCCTGGGCCTGTACCAAGGCCCGCGGCAGGGGGGTGGGGAGCTGCCGAGGGACGTACCATTTGTCTCGGGGGAAGGAAGACAGCGCACACTTCAGAGTCCCGTTTCGGTGGTGGGTGCGTGCTTGGAGATCAGAAGCCAACTTTGTAATTTTACGGAGAATCCGCCGAGCCCCACGGGGGGGCGCGGGTCAGTGACTGGCACAAGGTCACTCCTCTGGGTTGAAACTCCGGTTTGGGGAAGGGAGGAATGAGCTGACAAAGGAAATAAAAGTTGCTGTAGGCCAGGTACTATGCAATGCCTTTACCACGGTTGTCTCAGATATTCCAGTCAGTCCTCACTACAGTTTTGGAGGAGGGATTTTTTTTTTTTTATCCCTAGTTTACGGATAAACATACTGAAGTTGAGACCTTTGGGACTTGCTCAGTCACACAATTAGTCATTAAATTCAGTTTTCAATTGTACACATATTTTGAACGGCTGTGATGCACCAGAGACACTGTAACAAAGTGGTGGAATCCAGTTTTTCTTACTCGTAAGCCTTCCTCCCTCATGCAGTCACCCAGGCGGACTACGCAGTGCTTTCAGACAGGAGTGCCCCCTTATACTGGCACAGGGCTTCTCCCGTTTTTTGAACCTTTAAGGGTTGTGGTGTGTGTTTTTTAATCAGCAAAGAATAAATACATATTTTTTTGTTTATTTTGTTATCCGCACATGCGGATATTTCCCCACTGATTTTAGACAGAGTGGGAGGGAAAGAGAGAAACATCCATTGGTTGCTTCGCACATATGCCACGACAGGGGCAGAGGAGGGGGGAATCAAACCAGCAGCCCAGATGTGCGCCCTTGACCAGGAGTTGAAACCTCATCTCCTTTGGAGCACGAGCCAACAGCTCTCTAACCACTGAGCAATACTGGCCAGGACAGAGGATATATATTTTTTGGTTTTAGAGAGGAAGAGAGAGGGAGAGAGATAGAGAAACATCAACGTGAGAGAGAAAAACCTACAGGAACCTGGGTATGTGCCCTGAATTGGATTCAAACCTAGGACATTTTGGTGCATAAGATGAGGCTCAACCAGTTGAGCCACACTGGCCAAGGCTAGGTTGGATAATCTTTTTCTTTAATTCTTTATTGTAGAAAGCTGTCCTAGGCACTGTAGCCTCCTGGCCTCCACTCCCCTTCTTTTGTAACAATGGAAATTGCCTGAAAACATTGCATGTCTCCAGGGCAAGGTGGGGAAGGGATTGGAGGGAGTGTAATAGCCCCACCTCTCTACCCTCGGGCAGTGTGGCTTAGTGGTTGAAGGTTGACCTATGAACCAGGAAGTCCCGGTTCAATTCCAGTCAGGGGCACATGCCAGGGTTGTGGGCTGGATCCCCAGGAGAGGGCATGCAGGAGGCAACCATCATTGATTCTCTCTCGTCATTAATGTTTCTATCTCTCCCTCTCCCTTCCTATCTAAAATCCTATCTAATAAAAGAGTAATGTGCAAATTAACCATCACTCCGCTGCGCCCACCACCCATGCCCACCAGCCATGCCCACCAAACAATCAGAGCGAGTATGCAAATAAACCCCAACCAAGATGGCTACAGCCACAGAGTACAGGAGGGAGGCTTGGGTTTCCCAGGCAATAGAAGAAGCCAAGCTTTCTTTTCTTTTTTTTAAATAAACCTTTATTGTTCATATTATTACAAATGTTCCTCATTTTTTTTAAAGATATATTTTATTGATTTTGTACAGAGAGGAAGGGAGAGGGAGAGTTAGAAACATCGATGAGAGAGAGACACCAACCAGCTGCCTCCTGCACACCCCCTACTGGGGATGTGCCTGCAACCAAAGTACATGCCCTTGACCGGAATCGAACCCTGGACTCCTCAGTCCGCAGGCCGATGCTCTATCCACTGAGCCAAACCAGCTTCAGCTGTTCCTCATTTTTTTTCACCTCCATTGCTCTCCTCCACCAGGTTCTCACCCCACCCTCTGCCCTTTCCCCTCCCCCCATTGTCCTCATCCATAGATGCACAGTTTACGTTCAGTCTCTTCCCGCACCCCCCTACTCCCCTTTTCCCAGAGAATCGTCAGTTCACTCCCCTTCCATACCTCTAATTCTATTACATTCACCAGTTAATATTGTTTGTCAGATTTTAAAAAATATATATATTTTATTGATTTTTTACAGAGAGGAAGAGAGAGGGATAGAGAGTTACAAACATCGATGAGAGAGAATCATCGATCAGCTGCCTCCTGCACACCCCCCACTGAAGATGTGCCCGCAACCAATTTACAGAGAGGAAGAGAGAGGGATAGAGAGTTACAAACATCGATGAGAGAGAATCATCGATCAGCTGCCTCCTGCACACCCCCCACTGAAGATGTGCCCGCAACCAAGGTACATGCCCCTGACCAGAATCAAACCCGGGACCCTTCAATCCGCAGGCCGACGCTCTATCCACTGAGCCAAACTGGTTTCGGCTGTTTGTCAGATTTTTTAATTCCCTTGGTTTTTAGATTCACTTGTTGATAGTTGAAGCCAAGCTTTCTGCCTGCCCTAGCCGGCCTAAGCCTCCACTCCAGGCTACAAAGTTTCAATTATAGAAGGTAAACAAATCCAAACGGAAATGGTGGCAGCCACAGAGCTGGAAAGAGCCGGAGGCTAGGGTTGCCTGGTGATGGAAGAAGCAAAGCTTTCCAAACACCCTGGCTGGCCTAGGCCTCCACTTAAGGCTACAAAGTTTCAATTCTAGAAGATACATAAGTCCCAATAAAAATGGCTGCCCCCACAGAGCAAGCAGGAGGCTTGGCTCTGCTCCAGGCTACAAAGTTTCAATTGTAGAAGATAAATAAACCCAAGATACTAGGGCCTCCCCTTAGGTCGCCAGGGGGCGTGGCTGGCCTGCAAATCACCACAGGCCCCTCACCCAGGCCACTCCACACCCCAAGGGAACCCCCACCCTGATCCAAAACACCCTTCAGGGAAAACCAGCTGGCCCCCACCCATGCACCAGGCCCCTATCCTATCTAATAAAATAGTAATATGCAGATTGACCATCACTTCAACACACAATATGGCTGCCCCCATGTGGTCAAAGATCCTGCCCCTATGTGGACACAAGATGGCCACCACAAGATGGCCAGCAGGGGAGGGCAGTTGGGAGGCACAGGCGTGCAAGGGAGGGCAGTTGGAGGTGATCAACCCTGTAGGGGAGGGCAGTTAGGGGTGACCAGGCCAGCAGAGGAGAGAAGTTGGGGGCAAACCAGCTGTCAGGGGAGCAGTTAGACATCAATCAGGCTGGCATGGGAGTGGTTAGGGTGTGATTAGGCTGGCAGGCAGAAGCGGTTAGGGGCAATCAGGAAGGCAAGCAGGCGAGCAGTTGGGAGCCAGCAGTCCTGGATTGTGAGAGGGATGTCTGACTGCCCTCGAGGGGTCCCAGATTAGAGAGGGTGCAGGCTGGGCTGAGGGAAACCCCTACCTCACTCCTGTGCACAAATTTCGTGCACCAGGCCTTTAGTTAATAATAAAATTTGAAAAGTCACAGTGGAGCATACTAGAATGCTGAAGGCAACCTATCATTGTGTCTCTCTCACATCAATATTTCTCTTTCTGTCTCTCCCCCTCCCTTCCTTTCTCTTTAAAAGTAATAGGAAAAGGCCCAGGGGAGCAGGCGGGTTGGGTGCGGCCAGGCCCGGAGCAGCGGCTGCCAGGCTGGGAGCGGCCAGGCTGCGGCCAGGCCTGGAGCAGCGGCTGCCAGGCTGGGAGCGGCCAGGCCCGGAGCAGCAGCAGCCAAGTCCAGAGCAACTAGGTCGGGAGCGGCAGTGACCAGACCCGGAGCAGCTGGTTGTGGAATGAACCAGAGCAACAGAGGCCAGACCCTGAGCAGCCAGGCCCAGAACAGCTCGCTCCTCGCCTGCCCCTGCCCCACGGCTGCTTCTCAGACATGGCTGGAAACTTTTGTGGGAACTTGAGGGTCTGCTGAATCAAGTGATGAAGGCTTAGATCTGGATGTGTTGAGTTAGTATAGGACTGGGGTGTTGATCTGTGAGTGCCTTGGGTGGGGCCTGGATGAGGCTGGTGGACCTATTGGGAAATGTCTTTTGTGTGAAGTGTATCATTGGGCATGTGGAGGTATTATTGATATGAGAAAATGCTAAGTAACTGATTTACTATCTGAAAATGGATTTACTATTGGGGAAAGGGAGGGAAGAAGAGACTGAACATAAACTGTGCACCTATGGATGAGGACAATGGGGGATGGGGAGGGGGCAGAGGGTGGGGTGGGAACCTGGTGGAGGGGGGAAGAAATGAGGAACCTTTGTAATAATATGAACAATAAAGATTGATTTTTTAAAAAAATACAGACATTTAAAAGCTAAAAAAAAAATAAAAAATAAAAAAATAAAATAAATAAAAGTAATAGGAAAACATCCTGCAGACTAGAAAGGGTAAATGGGGGGTGTTATTTACTGTGGTTGAGTCTCAACAGCTGTTCAACCAGTGAGCCTCATCATTGATATTTCTTTCTCTCTCTTCTCTCTCTCTCTCTCTCTCTCTCCTTCTCTTTTCCTCTATGATAAACTATTTTTAAAAATAACTAATAAAATGTCACATCATGTCATAACCCTGCACAAACCTCTTTAAAGACTCCTCAAGCCGAAACCAGTTTGGCTCAGTGGATAGAGCATCGGTTTGAGGACTGAAAGGTCCCAGGTTCGATTCCGGTCAAGGGCATGTACCTTGGTGCGGGCACATCCCCAGTGGGAATTGTGCAAGAGGCAGCTGATCAATGATTCTCTCTCATCGATGTTTCTAACTCTCTATCCCTCTCTCTTCCTCTCTGTAAAAAAAAATCAATAATATATCTATATCTATATATCTATATATCTATATATCTATATATCTATATATCTATATATATATATATCCCTTGAATCACTAAATGCTATTGCCCTTACATAATGGGAGGGGAAGAGTCCTGGGACACACCCACTCCCTAGGGTAGGGGTTGCCCTAAATCCTTTGAGGCAGGGGTTTAACGGGATTCAAAGAGCCCAGACAAGAAGCATAGGAACCTCTTCTTCATCCCCAGCATCAACAAAGCTGGAAAAAGTTCAGACATTTCCCTCATCCCATCTTTCATCCCAATTCATGGTTATCAACTTCTGAACCCCCACTCCCCCCTCCCAAGGAAGAAACATGAGAGAGGGGAGCGGAGAGATGCAGTCTTCATCCACAAACATTTATTGAGCTCCTGATGTGTGGCAGTCCCCAAAGAGGAGGGCACGGAGGCATTACACAGCGTTTCCCCCTCGAGGAGCTTCGTGATGACCAGGGGAAAGGAAGAGGGGGATAGCGGAAGCTGTGTCCATCACGGGCCTCTCTCCTTTCTTAGGGGGCCGCAGGAAGTGAGAGGCCCGGAAAGGGATAGCCTGGACAGGTGTCCAAGACATATGCACAGGCTGCACATGTACAAGACACACGTGCAGAGCCCACACAGCTAAAGAACCGGTGTCTAAAACAGGAGAAGTATACGTGCCACACGCGGGCAGGATTCACATGCAGAGTCCGTATGTGCATCGGCTGTGGGTACGGCACAAGAACTGCTTCTCCCGGCCAGGTTGGCCAGATGAGGGCAGGGCTCCAGGCCCCCGGGAGGGCTCTCAGGGCTGGGGCTGGTACTGGCCCTCCGTGGCCGTGAAGAAGTCGTCCAGCACGCTGCGCAGGTAGTCGAAGGTCGGCCGGTCCTCTGGGCGCTCCTTCCAGCACAGCGTCATGAGGTGGTACAGCTCCTCTGGACAGTTGTCAGGTCGCACCATGCGGTAACCTCGCTCCAGGTTCTGGATCACCTCGGGATTGGTCATCCCTGAGGGTGGATGGGAGAAAAGACATCAAGGCTCCACTCTGGAAGCCCACAGGCGGGGGCAATGCTCGGATTATTTAACGGTTACGGTGTGAGCACCAATCCGGAAGGATCTTGGTCTTCACCAATGGTAAGGCCTTCCTAGAAGTACCTGCTAGATGTCAGTTGTGCCCCTGGGAATGTCAACGGTGGCTTAGACACTCAATAACACACACTGCTGCAGGCTTCTGGGGAGCCACCTCAGTATTTTGAGCCTCGGTGTTCTCATTTGGAGAACAGAATAAATAGTAACTCCTACCTCAGCGTTACTCTGAGGATTGAATGAGATAGTGCATACAACGCATGTCATGCCTGGAAAGGAGATACTGCCTAAATCACGCTTGTGATGATGACTATTTGGTGGGAAGTCATGGTGGTCAAGGCCCAGGGCAGGATGGAAGCCCACAGCCAGGAGAAGTGGTGAGGCTTCCCTAGCTTTGGGACCAGGCACATGAGATGCTCCATTAGGAAGCCAGACGGACTCTGGGCCCCAGAAAAGCAGAGTACTGCATGGGCAGAGGTCTATCAGGCCCCTCCAGGACCCAGAGGAAGTGATTTTGGGGCCAGTTCCCTGCCTTCCTACTGGTCCTGTCCCACTTGGTAGGCTCTTTTTAAAAAATATATTTTTTTTTATTGATTTTTTACAGGGAGGAAGAAAGAGGGATAGAGAGTTAGAAACATTGATGAGAAAGAATCATCGATCAGCTGCCTCTTGCACACTCCCTACTAAGGATGTGCCCACAACCAAGGTACATGCCCTTGACCGGAATCGAACTCAGGACCCTTCAGTCTGCAGGCTGATGCTCTATCCACTGAGCCAAACCGGTTTTGACCCACCTGGTAGTCTCTCAGCATGTGGACGCTGAGAGGATTTGATCCAGAGAACGGCATGATCATGGCAGAAACAGCTGCCTGTGTCTAAATTTCCCATGTGGCCTCTTATTTCCCCTTCAGTCTTTTGAGAGGTGACTGTGACAGGCAGTTCCCAAAGACCAAACCCTTAAGGTCCTGCAAAACTTGGGAATGGACCGTGCTCAATAGATACCCTCTTGTCCAGGCCTTGCTCCTAGGAGGCCTCCAGCTATGGATCCCTCACATTTCAAAATTAGTACATTGGGGGACATAGGCCATGGAACTAAACACCCAAGGCTAGAGTCAAGGCTGCAAACCCATAGGCTAAATCCAGCCTAAATATAACCTTTAGACGTACTTTGGTTTGGCTTCTGTAGTGTTTTTATTTTATTTTTTTAAATATATTTTATTGATTTTGTACAGAGAGGAAGGGAGAGAGATAGAGTTAGAAACATCAATGAGAGAGTCATCAATCAGCCGCCTCTTGCACACCACCCACCGGAGATATGCCCGCAACCAAGGTACATGCCCTTGACCGGAATCGAACCCGGGACCCTTCAGTCCCCAAGCCGACGCTCTATCCATTGAGCCAAACCGGTCCCGGCTTCTGTAGTGTTTTTAAATAATTTTAATCAATCACCCATGTTTGGAAATGGGCACATTTTTCTAAAGCTGCAAGTTTGGGCTTCTCTTGAAAAAAAATCTATTTTTTGGGCCCATATGCCTTTTGTTTTTGTGTTTCCTTTTTGTTAATCCTCCCCTGAGGACACTTTTTCCATTGCTTTTCAGACAGAGTAGAAGGGAAGGAAGAAGGAGGGAGAGAGAGAAAAAAACACGGATGTGAGAGAGACACAGTGACTGGTTGCCTCCCACATGCACCCTGGCCCTGAGTGGGGTGCAAACCCACAACCAAGGTATGTGCCCTTGACCGGGAATCGAACCTAAGACCTTCCGGTGCACAGGCTGACATTCTAACCACTGAGCCATGCCAGCGAGAGCTGAACCCCAGCTCTTAAAGGCAACTGTCTGCTAGAGCAGGGGCAGGTTCTCAGGTCCCCATTCCTTCCCATTGTCTCCCTGACCCTGAAGCCACGTTGCCATTTACCATCATGCTTACAATGTCTTTTCAGCTGTAACAGAGGCTTTGCCTGTGGATTCGCCTCTGTGGGCACAGTGGAGGGGCAGTGAGGGTCCTTGGCACGCTGACCAGAGTGGGCTTCCAGCCCCAGCACTCTCCCTCGGTTCTGTGATGGGGCACCTTTGGGGCAGGAAAAGCCCTCCAATTCTAAAGTGCCTTTACCTTCCAGGGGGGAAGCATCTAAAATCTGGCCACTGCGCTCTGTGACCTCCGTGCCCTGTCTTTGTGTTCCATTTCCTTTCCCCAGTTTCCTAGCGAGTTCCTTTTCAAAGATTCCATCGCTGTCTTGGCTGAATTCAAGGGCAAAAGGACTTTGTCCAGTAGATAAAGGGGGGGTGGGAGAGAGAGGGACTTAGTTGTTTACATCTTTCTCTTCTCTCTCTCTCTCTCTCTCTCTCTCTCTTTCTCTCTCTCTCTCTCTCTCTCTCTCTCTCTCTCTCTCTCTCTCTCTCGTTCTTTAGAGGAAAGCTTCAGAGGGAAGGGAAATCAGTGTGTAGTGAACACCTATTATGAGTCAAGCTCTTCACAGATAATCTTGTTTTTCATACCAGGAAACAGGCTCAGAGAGGTGAGGTCACTTGCCCAAAGTGATTATTAATAACAAAACCTAACACTCTGAGTGCTTAAATGGGCCAGGTAATATTCTTTTGTGTGTGTGATTTTAGAGAAGGGAGAGAGAGAAAGGGAGAGAGAGAGAGAGAGAGAGAGAGAGAGAGAGAGAGAGAGAGAGAGAAACATCAATGATATGAGAGAATCATTGATTGGCTGTGTCCTTCGGCATATGCCCCCTACTAGGGATCCAGCCTACAATCCAGGCATTTGCCCTTGACCAGAATCTGACCCAGGATCCTTTAGTCCACAGGCCAATGCTCTATCCACTGAGCCAAACCAGCTAGGGGCGGGCCAGGTAATAGCCTAACCTTACATTTTACATATGGGAAAAGAAGGAATCATCTGACCAAACAGAAAGTTAACATCACGACATGTCTGATAATGAAAGGCAGGCTTCTTGTCTCCAAGGCCAGAACCTTTTCACCCATACAAGGCTGCCTGTATTGGAACTAAAGAGAAGAGCTGGGATTATCGAAGGGAGAGAGAGATCCAGAGACAGAGATGAAAGTCAGCCATGGGCCGAAACCGGTTTGGCTCAATGGATAGAGCGTCGGCTTGGGGACTGAAAGGTCCCAGGTTCAATTCCAGTCAAGGGCATGTACCTTGGTTGCGGGCATATCCCCAGTAGAGAGTGTGCAAGAGGCAGCTGATCGATGACTCTCTCTCATCGATGTTTCTAACTCTCTCTCTCCCTTCCTCTCTGTACAAAATCAATAAAAATGTTTGTTTGTTTTTTTTAAAAAAAAGCACATTAGTGTAATTTAAAAGTATAAAAAAAAAAAAAAAGAAGAAGAAGAAGAAGAAGAAGAAAAGAAAAGAAAGTCAGCCATGGTTGATTGGTCCCTCCCTGGTGATATCGGAGTCTAGTCTCTGAGAAGATGGAGGAGAAGCAACTAGAAAGTTATCAGATTCTGAGCCTGAGAAGAAGTGAGTGGGAAGGCACGGGCTTTACTGCCCTGCCTCATCACCCTTTTTAGTTCCTGCCTTTGGTCCTGACCTGGGTAAGGGATGCGACCATGGGTAACAATCTCCGTCAGCAGGATCCCGAAAGACCACACGTCCGACTTGATGGTGAAGGTCCCGTAGTTAATGGCTTCTGGCGCCGTCCACTTAATGGGAAACTTGGCCCCTGTGGGGAGGCAGAGTGAGGTCACCTGGGTCTGCTTGGCCTGCAGGTCCCAGGCTTCCATTCCGTCCCACACCTACCCTCCCTGGCTGTGTACTCGTTGTCCTCAATGAGGCGTGCTAGGCCAAAGTCTGCGATCTTGCAGCTCAGGGTGTCGGACACCAGGATGTTGGCGGCCCTCAGGTCACGGTGGATATAATTGCGCTCTTCAATAAACGCCATGCCCTCCGCAATCTGCAGGTCGGGTATGGATTGGTTAGCAGTGGTGGGCCAGACATCCTTACCCTGCTGGCCCGGGCCCGCGCCCAGCCCTGCCAAGTCTCCTTACTTGGGCTGCCATATCCAAGAGTTTGTTGATGGTCAGCTTGATGCCTGCAGGGGTCTTGAGAAAATCCACCAGGCTCCCTGTGGGCAGAAGCAAGAGTTGCTGACCCAAGTTGCCTGAGGAGAGAGCTCCCAACCCTTCTCCCCCTGTGTGTATGGGGTGTGTGGAGGCAGTGTCTTATATGTGGAAAGGGAGAGGAAGGGCAGAAAACGGAGGAGTGTGTGTTCAGAATGAGGAGCTTTGGGACACATGAAGGTGTTTTCCACGCTCAAAGGGATCTGAAGGCTTTTTGTCACCCATGGGTGAGCTCAAACTCCTCAGCCAGCATCCAAAGCTCTGCATGGCCCACTCTGTAGTTTCTTCTCTTCCTCACTCCTGCTACTCTTGTTCCACCCACACTAGACAATGTCCACATTTTCTGCATAGACCATTGCATTCCCACCCCGAAGCCTCATTGTCCCATCTCTGCCTATTTTTCTTTCGTGGTCCAGCTAGATCATTCCTCTAGGAAGCTTCTCTAGATCCTACTAGACATAAGTTAAATCACCATCTACATCCTCTGAGGCATGCTGTAACTTTCCTAGCACAAACTCTGGTTTTCCTGTAGCGCATAATTAAATGAGACAGCAGGCACCTTGCTTGGTCCATCCATGTTCCCAGTGCTCAGCCCAAAGTAAGCAGCAATAAATGTGTGCATTTAAAGGAGTGTGGAGCTCTAACCGGTTTGGCTCAGTGGATAGAGCGTCAGCCTGAGGACTGAACGGTCCCAGGTTCGGTCAAGGGCATGTATCTTGGTTGCAGGCACATCCCCAGTAGGGGGTGTGAAGAGGCAGCTGATTGATGTTTCTCTCTCATTAATATTTCTTTTTTAAAATATAATTTATTGTTGCTTTTTTTTACAGAGAGGAAGGGAGAGGGAGAGAGAGTTAGAAACATTGATGAGAGCGAAACATCAATCAGCATGCCCTTGACTGGAATCGAACCTGGCACCCTTCAGTCCATAGGCCAACACTCTATCCACTGAGCCAAACTGGTTAGGGCTCATTGATATTTCTAACTCTCTATCCCTCTCCCTTCTCCTCTGTAAAAAAAATTAATAAAAAAATATATAGCCAAAACTGGTTTGGCTCAGTGGATAGAGCATCAGCCTGCAGACTGAAAGGTCCTGGGTTCGATTCTGGTCAAGAGCATGTACCTTGGTTGTGGGGTGTGCAAGAGGCAGCTAATCAATGATTCTCTCTCATCGATGTTTCTAGCTCTCTATCCCTCTCTCTTCCTTTCTGTAAAAAATCAATAAAATATATTTTAAAAAATCCTCATGATTGCCTTGCTCCTCTTTTATATATATATATATATATATATATATATATATTTTTTTTTTTTTTTTTTTTTTATTTATTTATTTATTTTAAGGAGTGTGGAAAGAGGTGCGTGGAGGCCTGACAGATTGGGAGTTGCTGGATTGGAGCTAGTAACTGCTGTCCCTTCTTGAGAGATTAAAGCCCTGTGTGAAGATGATAGCAACCTGTGTGTCCCCACTGTGAACACTGAAGTAGTCACCAAAGACAAGGGGCTCACCCAGGCACAGCAAATGTGTGACACAGACTGCCATTCTTCCATTGTGTCCATGGCAGACATTGCCAATCAATCCTAACACTCACTTCCAATGAGCCTAAGAGTCCTTCTCAACACAGAACTCCAAGCAACGACCAACTAAAGTCGGCTTAAGTAATAAAATATATTTGCCATTTCCAGAACCCATTAGCCAAAGAACAGCTTTCCTCCCTTCCTGAAAGAGGGAGATCTTATGCTCCCAAAGAATCAGAGCCAGGTGACAGCAGACTTACTGAGCAGTGAGCCTATGGCGGGCACTGTTCTAACTGCTCTATGTGCTTTAACTGCCTCTCCGGAAAGACCTACGAGAAGGTAACTATTGCACTGTAATCGCCATTTTACAGAGGAGGACACCGTGGCAGAGAGAGGTGGAGTGGTTAGTTCAAGGCCTCAGAACTGTGAAACCAGAGTTCTAACCCGAGTAGCCAGGCTCTAGAGACCTTAGTAATTTCTCTGTATTATTTCTGGGCGAACCGTTTCTGCTGTTTTACTCAGGGAAACGGAGCACAGATGCAGGTCGTGAACGTGGTCTGTGTCACACAGCAAATCTGTAGCAAATCTAGACCTGGACATTCCTCTTTACCACGCTGGGGCTCTTACTCTGCCCAGTGACAGACCAAGGGGGTGGGGGCTCACCCAGAACTGAAAAAGAGGGCTTTGGGGCAGATCTGGCCTCTCAACTCTCAGGGACAGAAGGGGACTAGGGAGCCACTCATTTCCTGAAAAACAAGCATCTTTAGATCAAGGTAGGGCCTTGAAGGCCCACGGGACTTGCAGGCCAGGGAAGACGGAGGCTGGATGCTCTTCCAGAGCCTGCAGCCTTAGGCTGGGCTCCCAGACAGGCCCCTGGAGGGGAGATTTCAGGCGCCCAGGAAAACTCTAGCGACTTCAGCGCTGTGCCAGGAGAGAAGGCAGATCCCTCCACCCGCTAGCGAGAGCAGAGTGGAGCGAGCAGAGGGGGCGGCGATGCCCACCGTTCTCCATGTATTCCGTGATGATATAGATGGGCTCCTGGGTGACCACCGCATAGAGCCGGACCAGCCGCTGGTGCTGCAGCTGCTTCATGAGGTTGGCCTCGGCCAGGAAGGCGTCGGGGGACATGCTGCCCTGCTTCAGGCTCTTCACCGCCACCTTCGTGTGCCCGTTATAGTAGCCTGGGGCGGGCAGTGGTTGGAGGAAGTCACCCAGACTGCAGGGGGACCCTCTCTGACCTCAGCGGACGCCTCCCCTCCCCCTCCCTCGCCCCCCGCATTCCAGGAGGGCCTCACTCACCCATCCACACCTCCCCGAACTGGCCAGCCCCCAGCCGCTCCACCAGTTTCAGCGTCTCCCTGGGGACCTCCCACTCGTCCTCCCACCACGGCTTCTGGGGCTTCTGGGTCTGGCAGGGGCGGCTCAGCCGCGTGCACAGCCCATCCGGAGCATCTGCGAGGACAAGGGAGGGAGCAGGGAATTCACCAAACCCCGTCTAGGGAACCGGCCTGGCCGGGGAGGGGTGGGCCCCTGCGGCTGCAGGGGAAGGGCCCTCACCCCGCCGGGAATGAAAGGGCACGCTTAGTGGTGGGGAGAGCTTAGTGATGGGGGGAGCTTAGTGATGGGGAGAGCTTAGTGGTGGGGAGAGCGTGTCCCCGAGAGGGACTGGGGGAGGCAGGTGCCGGGACGCCGGTGAGGGGGTCCCGCCGCGCTCACTGGTGTAATGGCGGACCAGCTCCTGCAGGCCGGGGAAGGTGATGCGGGGGGAGATGTAGAAGCCGCCTTTGTCCAGGTTGCGGATTTTGTAATGCTTCACCACCTCTCCCTGGTTCTGGTCGAAGTCCCGCACGGACAGGGAAAACGATCCTGATTAAAGGAACAGGGAAGCGAACGTCAGAGGGGGAGCGGGAACAGATGGCCGGCGCCCCCGAGCCCCGAGCCCCTGCCCCGGGGCTCGCCCGCCCGCACCGAGGCGCCCGGGGTGCAGCCCGGGCCCCGCCCACCGAGACCCCGCCCACCGAGGACCCGCCCCTGAGGCGCCGCCCTGACCCCGCCCACCTAGGTCCCGCCCGATAGACCCCGCCCACCTAGGGGCAGTCTGGGCCCCGCCCACAGAGGGACCAGTCCGGGCCCCGCCCACGGAGAGCCCGTCCACGGAGGCCCCGCCCCCGCTCACCCGCGGTGCTCTCGCTCTCCCGGATCAGGAAGGAGCCGTGCGTGTTCCCGGGCGCCAGGAGCTGCCGTTCGGCATCCTTGCGGCTCAGGTTTTTGAAGAACCAGCTGCGCAGGGCGGAGCGAAAGCCGTGGAGTGTTGGAAGGCTCCTCCTCCATCACCCACCCCTCCAGCGGCCCTCCTCTGCTCCGGGGTCCCTAGGTCCGCTTGCTCCCACCCATCCCCCAAACGGGGTCCCCACTCACGGTTCGGGCTCCAGGCTGTTCGCTTTGGCCACGAAGTTGAAGGGGATGAACCCTTCCTGGCCGGTGGTCAGAGACTGCGCCTTCCACCACTCGCCGTTCCTGGGGACATCGGCGGGCAGCGTGGCTGGCTCGGCCTGTCTCGGCGGGACGCCCTCCCTCCGAAGCCCCAGCTGTTCATGCCACCCCACCCTCCAGCCCAGCACGCTCCAGCCTCTCATTTGGTCTCCAGGGCGCCTGCTGCAGGCGGGTCAGCACCTGCGGGAGGGCTGTGGGCCCGGGGTCTCCGCTCCTTCCCTCCCTCACCGCTGCAGGGCGAGGATGGGTGGCACAGAGGGGACACTCACTGCTCCAGGACACGAAGCTGTTCACCCTTTTCGAATCCCAGGTCCCCATCATGAGAGGGCTCGTAGCTGTGCAGGGCGATGACCAGGTTGTCTGTAAAGACCAGGGGGCGTCAGGGAGAACCAGCTGAACGCGGAGTTCAGCAGTGAGGGGGCAGAGCACAGACCGGGGCACGAGAAGCAGGGCAGAGTAGAGGGGAGATGGGGAGGAGACAGGCCAACAGCCAAGCACCCGCAGGCCTTATCTCCCAGGCCCTGCTGGCGAGGTCACCTTGCAGTGGAGAAGCCGGGGGGTTGGTGTCCTGGTAGGTGACCAGTGGATCCCGCACCTCAGAGCCATTCCGGAGGGGCAGCTGTGGGGCAGGGGATGGGAGAGAGGTCAGATCCCGGCTCCCCTCCCCGCCACCCTGATCTGCACTTCTCCAGCCCAGCTGGGTCTTCCTCTCCCTGAATTTGCCAACTGCTTGCTGTGTGGCCTTAGGAGAGTCCCTTCCCTTCTCTGGGCCTCTTTTCCTTTCTGTATTGCAGAGGAGAGAGCCACTCTGTTATTTCAAGGACTTTACATCTATTTTTATTGGTTTCAGAGAGGAAGGAAGAGGGAGAGAGAAATGGAAACATCAATGATGAGAATCACTGATCGGCTGCCTCCTGCATGTCTCCTTCCGGGGATCGAACCTGCAACCCAGGCATGTGCCCCTGACCGGAATCGAACCTGGGACTCTTCAGTCCACAGGCCAATGCTCTATCCACTGAGCCAAACCAGCTAGGGCTCAAGGCCCTTTCGAGGTGGCCCCTTTCGTTCTCCTGAGGTGCGCACGCCACCCGGCTCCCTCACCAAGCCCCACGTCCTGCCTCTTACCGTGGCCTTGCCGTCCAGTGAGACTATGGGGTAATGGCAGTTCTCACAGACATCGATGTTTTCCATCCAGTCATCTTCAGGGTTTGAGCTGCAGCCACAGCCCATGGTCCCTGGGGGAATGGAGAGGAGCTTAAGGGGTTCCCCCAGCTTCTGCTCTCCCAACCTCCGACATACAGAGGCCTGGCCCTGAGAACTTCCAGAAGCCCCTGAGGTGGTTAGCACGCCTCCCCAGGCCCCCTTCACCAGCCATAGCAGAGCTGAGATGGGGACCTAGCTACTAACGGATGCTCCCTCGGAGCCCCCACATGCCACAAGCAAAACGACACACACCCCAGCCCTAGGCCCCGCCCCCCCACCTGGGATGGGCAAACCGACACAGACACCTTTGTTAGTCTAGCTGCCCGCTTCCTGCCTCTCCCCCAACCTCTCTCTCTCTCTCTCTCTCTCTCTCTCTTCTCTCTCTCTCTCTCTCTCCCTCTCCCCATCCCCCATGGTGAGGGACTACCCACTGAGACCACACATTTCTTCCGAACCCTGGGAGAGACCTAAGTTTTGATCCGCCCATACCTTAGAGGTGTGCCCGCACCACCTCCTCATACCATCCCCCTCCCCGGCCAGAAGGCTAAATGAAAGGCTCCCCAAAGTCAGCCATGGGGCCTCTGCCCCCTTCCCCTCCCACACATGTCTCCTTCAGAGGGTCCCTTCTGCTTCTCCCCGGCAGAAAATCCTTCAGTGGCCCTATTGGCTGTAACTTTTTCATTTTATTTGTTTGCTTGCTTTAGCAGTGGAAACTTTTTGTCAGATGAAACCAAGCAGAACCCCGTAGATAAAGCAAAAATGGAGCTGTTGTGCCTGTGGCCCCGTGGGGCCTTCCTCTGAAAGCCCTGGGAGGCCCAGGACACCTCCTTCCTGGGCTGCTCCTCAGAACCGCTGGGAAAGCACGCCCTCAGATAAAGTTAGATTCACCGTGTGCTCAAGACCCTTTAATATCAAGATCAAATCCACTTCCTCAGTCCGTTCTTACACACACACACACACACACACACACACACAAGCACCCCCACTTACACAGTCTGTTTTGAGCTACATTTGTCCCTCCCAAACACCCCACACAATTTTCTTACTCCAGTGCCTTTGCACACGTGCTTCTCCTGCCTGGGGATGCTCTCTTTTCGTCCCATCTACTGAACTCAGCTTCCAAGGCTCAGCTCACCTATCGCCTACTCTGTGAAGCCTTCCCAATGCTCTTTGCTTCTGCAGTTCTCCTCAGGCACAATCAGCAACTTAGGCACTGAGTGCCAAACCTACGCGGACTTATGTGTCAACCCCCCCCTTGATGAGGTGGGGGAATGCCTGGAGAATAGAACCTGTGCTTTCTTTGCTTGAATGCCCCAGCACCCAGAACTAGTTGTCGTTTATAAATATCAACTAGGGCCCAGGCCAGGTAGCTCCATCGATGTGAGCAGTGGTCAGCAAACTGTGGCTCACGAGCCACATGCCGTTGGCAAGCGGCACTTTGCTGCTCTATTGACTAATGAGTTTGCTGACCACTGGGATAGGGGCTTAATCATAAGGAACAACAGCCTGTAATTATTGGAATCAAGATCCTAGGTTAGTGGTCGGCAAACTCATTAGTCATCAGAGCGGCAAACTGCTGTTTGCCAACTGCATGTGGCTTGTGAGCCACAGTTTGCCAACCACTGGATTAGAGCATTGTCCTAATAAACAAAGGTATGGATTCGATCATACGTCCAAGAAACAACCAATGAATACATAAATAAATGGAACAATCTCTTTCTCTTTCTCTCACAAACAAACAAACAAGTAAAGTTGACTGGCATATGAAGGGTTAATGAACAGATTCTCTCCCAGATGAGAAAAAGCTAAAAAGTTCACCACCACAAAACCACTAATACAAGAAATGTTAAAGGGACTTCCAAGAGAAGAAAAAGAAGAAATATGAATAATAAAATGGCAATAACTATATACCTATCAATAATTAGTTTATTAAATATAAGTGAATTAAATCTAATCAAAAGACATAGGGTGGCTGAAAAGATGAGAAAACAAGACCCATACCTATGCTGCCAACAAGGAACCTATTTCAGATCAAAAGACACATGCAGACGGAAATAAAGGGATGGAAAAATATATCTCATGCAAATGGAACTTTAAAAAAAGCTGGGGTAGTAATATTTATATCAGATAAAATAGACTTTTAAAAAATCCTCTCTTGAGGATATGTTTTTATTGATTTTTTAAAATATATTTTTCCTGATTTCAGAGAGGAAGGGAGAAGGAGAGAGATAGGAACATCAATGATGAGAGAGAATCATTGATCAGCTGCCTTCTGCATGCTCCACAGTGGGGACGGAGCCTGCAGCCCTGTCATGTGCCTTGACTGGGAACCGAAGGGTGACCTCCTGGTTCACAGAGCCACGCTCAAGCACCGAACAACACCGGCATGGCAGACAAAATAGGGTTTAAAACAAAAGCTATAACAAGAAACAAGGAAGGGCATTTCATATGCAATAGCTACAGCCTTGGAAGTGTCCATCAGTAGACACTCGGATAAAGAAGATGTGGTACATTTGAATACACAACAGAATATTACTCTGCTATAAAAAAATAATGAGCTCTTATAATACCATTTGCAACAACATGGATGAGCTTGGAGGATATTATGATAAGTGAAATAAGTCAGCTTTAGAAAGACAAATAACAAATGATTTCACTTACATGTGGAATCTAATGAACAGAATAAATAAAATAGAAACAAACTCATAAATACAGAGAAGTGGTAGTCTCCAGATAGGAGAAGGGCTGAGGGGCTGGGTGGAAAAGGTGAAGGAATTAAGAGGTTCAGCCTGGCAGGTGTGGTTCAGTGTTGAGTGTCGACCTATGAATCAGTTACTGGGTTGTAAAGTACAGCATAGGGAATGCAGTCAATAATATTGTAGCAGCCGAAACCGGTTTGGCTCAGTGGATAGAGCATTGGCCTGCAGACTGAAAGGTCCCAGGTTCAATTCCGGTCAAGGGCATGTACCTTGGATGCTGGCACCTCCCCAGTAAGGGGTGTGCAAGAGGCAGCTGATCGATGTTTCTCATTGATGTTTCTAAGTCTCTATCCCTCTCTCTTCCTCTCTGTAAAAAATCAATAAAATATATTTTTAAAAATAAATAAATAAAAATAATAATATTGTAGCAAATATGTATGGTGCTGGGTGGATATTACACTTATTAGGGGGCTCACTTTGTAAGTTATATAAATGTCTAACCACTATGTTACACACCTAAAACTAATGTAGTATTGAATGTCAACTGTGATAAAACAATTTAAAAATTGTTTTTTTTATTTTTTAAATTTCTTTATTGATTAAGGTATCACATATTTGTCTTCATCCCCCCATTCCCATCCCCCACCCCTCCTCTAAAAAATTGTTTTAATGCACAGATTCTCCCATCTGTAAAGGTTTTAGCAGCCACCAAATCTAATCTCTGATTTTACGTGAACAAACCAAGGCTCAGAGAAGCCTGCTTAAATTCACACAACTTATCTACCCTGTTTCCCCGAAAATAAGACAGTGTCTTATATTAATTTTTTTCCCCAAAGTTGCGCTAGGTCTTATTTTCAGGGGATGTCTTATCTTTCCATGCGCTAGGTCTTATTTTCGGAGGATGTCTTATTTTCTGGGAAACACGGTAGCAGAACAAAGCTAGAGTTGCTAGCCCATACTGGGCTCAAGTGGAAGGAGGGTTAAGTTAGCAAGAATTAAGGACATATGTCAATTATACCTAAATTTTGAAAAATTTATTTTAAAGGGAGGAAGAGAGAAAAGGAGAGGGAGAGCAAGAGCTCACTCATGAGAGAGAGAGAGAGAGAGAGAGAGAGAGAGGGAAAGAGAGAGATCCATGTAAGAGAGAAACATCAATTGGCTGCTTCCTACACACCCCCTACTGGGGATTGAGCCTGCAACCTGGACATGTGACCTAACCAGGAATCAAACCATGACTTCCTGGTTCATTGGTTGACGCTCAACCACTGAGCCACCCGGGGCAAACTTATGTTTCTGTTTCTTTTCTTTTTTAATAATTCCTTATTGTTGAAAGTATTATATATGTCCCAGCTTCTGGCTGTTTTGTGGTGTGTTTTTTTTAAATATGTATTTTATTGATTTTTTTACAGAGAGGATGAGAAAGGGATAGAGTTAGAAACATCAATGAGAGTCATCGGATCAGCTGCCTCTTGCACACCCCCTACTGGGGATGTGCCAGCAACCAAAGTACGTGTCCTTGACCGGAATCGAACTTGGGACCTTTCAGTCCGCAGGCCGACGCTCTATCCACTGAGCCAAACCGGTTTCGGCAAGCTCCTGTTTTTTAAACTGAGATAACTTACAAGCTCTCATGGGTACCAGAGCCACTGGTGTGCATCTTCCTAGAGCATCTTCCTTCACCTTCTTCATATAGTTAAACAAACCCAGATCTATTATAGCGGAAAATGCAAAACACACATGGAATTTTAAGCCAAATCAAGGAAAAGGGGACGCATTAATTCTTCCCCCTACTGTTAGGAGTCTTGGAGAAATTGCTCAGCCACTGTCCACCCATGCATGGCTGCAAATGCCTTTGTTTAAAGTTAAAATCTATTGGGGTGGTCAGCATGAACATACAGGTTTCAGGTGTAGGTTTCTATGTTACATGATCTGTGTATTGCACTGCGTGCCCACCACCCAAAGTCACATCTTCTCCTGTCATCATGCAGATGGCTTTTTGACTGCTGTTTTTATTCTGACCAGGAACTGATTAGGAGCAAAGCCTTCAGGAAAGGACTGATGACAACCTGGATAAGCCTAAAATACGCTGAGCTATCTATAATAGTAAGGTCGTGAGCATCCTGTTGTTTGTGCTACTCAAACAGGCCTCAGAAAACCACAGGCTGGTTATAACGTAGTTGAGATCACCAACGTCAGATGGCCTGTGGACTGAGATCAGTGAGTCCCTCCGAGGCCTGACATTCTTGGAGGCCCTGGCGAAGGGTAAGAGAAAGATGAGAAACGTTTGGGGTTATGAGAAGAGGGGATGAAATGGCATGTAGCAGCGAG